GGTGCCAAGACATTACTACCACACAGCGCCTGATATCGCTTCAACCTAAGTTTAATTTGTAGATTTAATATATCTTTGTCCTTTATGTTCTCCCATTTATTTGTATTGTGGTCCTGTCATGTGATGTTGTCGTTTTGGTGTTGTGTTTGACGTTGCCATAAAAGCGGGAGGTTTGGCATGCCACAAAACCAGGTTCAACCCACCATTTTTTTCTTAAAATGTCCTGTACCAAGTCAGGAAAATGGCCATTGTTATATTATAGTTCGTTTCTGTGTGGGTTACATTTTAATATTGTGTTTTTGTTGTGTCGTTGTTCTCCTCTTATATTTGATGCGTTTCCCTCAGTTTTAGTTTGTAACCCGGATTTGTTTTTATCTCTATCGATTTATGAGTTTTCGAACAGCGGTATACTACTGTTGCCTTTATTTAAGAGGTGTATTAATGTCTTTTATTAATTTTTGTTTAGAAGATTTGGTCATTTTATTGTGTATTGTCGAGTGTATTCTGATAAAACATCCGCGTTGGTAACTTCCTAATCTACTAGTAAGATTTCAGGACACAAACACACCAAATAATTGTAGAGCTATTCACTCCTACTTTTATCAAATGGTACTTGCATGGTGTTTAATAAGAAAAGTTCACTTTTATAGGATACCTAATAAGGCATGCTGTTACGTCGTATATGCTTACTTAACTCTAAGTGCAAAAGTTTAAAGTTTAAAACAATTTTGAAAATAAAACAAATAAAAAAAAACAGAAGCAAATCAAAACATTATTACTGGGATTAACTGTAAAATGTTATTTGATAGATATATAGCACTTTGATAAATGATTTGGACTTTGGTCATATCAACCGTCACTTCGAAAATAATACTGTATAACTTCAAGACTTACGAGTTTCTAAAATTCCATGATAATTTTTGATAAATTGTGTACATCAAAATTAATTTCCTTTTAAATATTAATAATCGTATGAACTTATATACTTATGAACGAAAGGTCATTAGGAAGGTTTCGTGTTCAAGATAAGAGACTTATTTTAAACTAAAACCGCGAATATGATTCACAAAATATAATAGAATGAATTTGAAAATGAGTATTTTTTGTCTACATATAATGTGGATTTATATGACTTTGTGATTGTACTTCGTATTAGGACAACCGGTATTAACTTTGGTTTCGATCACTTGTTTAATGAAAGGTATCAATTACACATATATTGAATTTCGATATTTCGATATTTCAATCTTCTGTTTATTTTACTTATATATGATCTTTAAAAACATTGTGATTTTCTTTTTTCTTTTACTATTGACTTATTTGATGACTAAATATTTTAAGTTATACAAACATCACACTCATCAATCAAACAGACAAATTGTCACCATTCTTCAGTGTATTTATCTATACACAGATGCATCCAAATAGCTGTTGTATAAAACATTCTTATTTTAAATCGATGTTTTATTCAATCTTGAAATTACAATGATAAAAACGGATTATGATGTACCTTTAATGTCTTTATTTTCAATCAAATAAAAAAAAAATGATTTTTTTGTTTTTAATCTATGTTTTGGTTAAATCTTTCTCTTCAATGAGAAATTTTCTTTTCTCATGCTTAAAAATACTTTATATGGATATTTGCAAAAATTAAAATATATTGAATAGTTTGGATAAAGGGTTGTATGATATTGGAATAAAGGGTTGTAAGATATTGTTTCATCAGAAAGCATAATATCTCGAATTAAATTCATCATCAATCAACAAAAGTTTCATTTTACTTAGTAAACATAAGTTAAAGAACATCAATTTTTGAATGTACATATAGTTTAATTTCCTTCCTTTTTGGACATATAGCTTCTAGCGTATCTTGGTATGTATACATCCTATAATTTTATTTTTTTAGTTTGAGCGTTCTTGATAACTAAGATCAGCCAGAATGGTAAGTAAGTGGCACCTGTCGTGTTGCTCATGCAAGTGAACATCCGGTGATATGTCGTATTCGGTAATGTCACAATCGTGTAAACAAAAACAGAATTGTGTTCATGACGAGATGAACATATCAGTGATCATATGCGACACATATATATTCCATAACGGTCATACAGCTCTGCTGGTGTCCGGTTTTTTCCATTTTTGTCGACTGGATTCTGAGAGAGAAATTTGCGCTCAACTTTGAGACCCAATTTTGCGATGAAATCTTCGCTGACGGCTAGAATATTTTGTATACATACAAATACATTTGCATACATACAAATACTTACCTTTTATGTGTTTGTTGGTGCTAAATATTTCCATAAATATCCAAATGTAATGATAAAATAAGTTACAACTCCATCCGAACCGTCGATGACCTACTTCATTTTTCAAATAGATTCGGATCATTCCTAGATTTCCCAAGATCCGTCACTATCGGAGAGTATAAGAATAATAGCTATCAAATCTTTCCAATATTTCAAAGGTTGCCATTTGGATACATGTACTTTATAGATATAAGAAGATGTGGTATGATTGCCAATGAGACAACAATCCATCCAAGTCACAATTTGAAAAGTAAACCATTATAGGTCAAAGTACGGCCTTCAACACGGAGCCTTGGCTCACTCCGAACATCAAGCTATAAAGTGTCCCAAAAATGACTAGTGTAAAACCATTCAAATAGGAAAACCAACGGTCTAATCTATTTTAAAAAAACGAGAAACGAGAAACACTTATGAACCACATCAACAAACGACAACCACTGGACATCAGGTTCATGACTTAGGACAGGTGCAAACAAATGCAGAGGGTTTAAACGTTTTAATAGGCGCCAACCTTCACCCTACCTGAAACAATAGTGTAACATCACAACATTTAAAAACACACTATAAAATATCAATTGAAATGGCTTAACTCAATCAAAAGACATATCAACAAAAACAAGTGAACATACACTGAACGAATAAATTTGATCTAAGACACAATGTAAATACAAAATTATTAAAACAAGGGGTGTAGATGTTTAACAATATCAGAAAGATATGTTTTATGCCTCAAACACACATAAAAAGCATGCACTCACAGTAGTGTATTTGAAGTCCATTCTCATCATCCATCCATCATATGAATAGTGACCTGTGGCTATCTACAACTATAAACACTTTACTCGCAGTATGTTTTCGATATTTTCTTTATTACATTGAAAAGAGGCGAGAGATACCAAGGGGAAATTCAAAGCTCATGAGTGGAAGAGAAATTCTCCCAGTTGATACGATACTCCAGGGCTTGTATTTCCTATCATGATTTCCTTGATAGAGGGTTGCTGCTCACAAGGAAGCAATTTAACCAAGACTTCCAAGTGGTGAAGTTGAAATCATCCCTTCGTAAATTTTACGGACGCCATCACGAGTTGGTTGACCATTACGGAATATCCGTTTCACATATGATAGCGGATATGTTCCTAATGTCGTAACTACAATCCCGAACCCTTTTCCCGAATGTGACCTACCGAATTAGACTTATTACAGGGTTTGTACTAACATGAGCAACACGACGGGTGCCACATGTGGAGCAGAACCTGCTTACCCTTGCAGGGCACCTGAGATCACCCCAAGTTTTTGGTGGGGTTCGTGTTGCTCAGTCTTTAGTTTTCTATGTTGTGTTTTGTGTACTATTGTTTGTCTCTTGGTCTTTTTCTTTTCTAGCCATGGCGTTTTCAGTTTATTTTCGACTTATGAGTTTGAATATCCCTTTGGTATCTTTCGCCTCTCTTTGACAACATCATGGCAAAAAACGAAAAACGAAGAAAAGACAAACAAAGTCCACAAAGCACAACACGGAAAACTAAAGATTTAGTAACACCAATCTCCTCATAAACTGAGGGTAAACTAAAGATTGAGTAACACCAATCCCCATATAAACTGGTGGTAAACTCTAAGACTGGTAAGATTGAGTAACACCAATCTACATATAAACTGGTGGTTAACTCTAAGACTGGTAAGATTGAGTAACACCAATCTCCTCATATACTGGGGGTAAACTCTAAGACTGGTAATCTAGAAGGGTAAATAGAACCTGCTCCACTAGCGGCATCCTTCATGATGTTCATGATAAGTACTAATTCAGTGATGGGTCTTATTCGGTGATGTCACAATTGACGAAGAGGACAGGATTGTGGTTACAATTGGACCATATCCGTGGTCAGGTGACACAGAAATTCCATAACAGTCAACCAACTCGGGTTGGCGCCTGTTTTTATTCTCAACTGACATTGTCAATGTCCAAATGTAAGTAAAGACAGGAGGCAGACTAAAATGTATCTGTGGATATCCTTCATTTCAAGTCATAGTCACCAAACTAGGAATTATTTAGTGACAAGACATCATCTATAAACCTGAGCATGAAATTAAAAGATTATGCAGTAATTTTGGGGCCCTTTATAGCTTGCTGTTCGGTGTGAGCCAATGCTTGATGTTGAAGGCCGTACTTTGACCTATAATTGTTTACTTTTAACACATTGTGACTTGGATGGAGAGTTGTCTCATTAACACTCATACCACATCTTCTTATTTATATTTCTTTCCATTCTTTCTAAGAAGGTCCTGTATGAAGTCTGTCTCGTATGAGTAAAGGAACAAGTCAGCAAGAAGAAGAACCCAGTTGGTTCCAATATGAAAGCTGATTGTATGTTAAAAAATATGTCCTCCTAACATACTAATTATGTTTCCATCCAAAATCTAAAATATCTTGATATCATTTTCAGAGAATGTGTTGTTTGCAACATACTAGCTTTTGTTTTACAAAGTTTGATTTATACCTTCCTATAACAAGATATTTGTATCTCTTATGAATCTGAATATAGTTGCTCTGTTCGTGTGCATGAAATCAGACATCCTGTAGGATGAAAAATAAGAACCAATATATATTAATATTTTTGTAAGGTATAATAAATGGCATCTCACGTGTAACTGTCATTCGTTTATCCTAAACTACACAAGCTTCACTAACAAGAAAAACATTACTTTTTGTTTAAATTTATTCTAAATAATCTGTAAAAATCAACGAATTACAAAATAATCACAATATAGTAAAGCCCTCAACACAGTCACTTAAAGTATAATGCTTTATACATAATATTTTCATGCTTGAATATATAGAATTTAAAAAAACATATGAAAGTAAAAGATAATATAGCACCATTGTTGATTTGAAGGTGTTAATCTAGTTTAATAACAACTATCACTACAAAGATTAGTGTTATTTTTTTTTTCAAATCCTGAAGATATCTGCTCTGCTCTTTCTTGGGATTATAGAAAGGACCTATTACTTCCCATTAGAAAGGAAATTTATCCCTTTATGGATGAAAACAAAAAAGGCAGCAATTTTACAACACAAATTCACCAAAATAGATATATAAAGGTCACTTTCTAGAGATTTTTAAAACTTTTGTTGATGTATTGGTATAAGAGAAAATCAAAGTTTTCTGTATTTGAGCCAATTTATATCTCTTATTTTACAACTCCCTAAATCACATATATAAATTGCTTGCAAAACTTAGTTGATGAGTAGTATGTTTTAATATTGATTGTTCTAAAACTTATCTGTCTATCATGGTAAGTCATACACATAATGCTGCTTATATCTTAAACAAGACTTTAAATACAGAATTCATTTTCTATATAGTAATAAAAGAAAAGTAAAGTATGAGGTAAATATGTTTCACAACCAGATAACTATAATGTAATGAGGCCCACATTTAAAACAAACGAATAGACGAATCTTATATAACCATACAAATATTTTGGAATATCTAACAATTTTTAATAAGTTTTGTCTTCAATAAAGATTAAATATAATGCTTCATAAATTTATAAAATATATAAAATTATTTGGTTTCTCCTCAAATGGAGTTAGTATAGACAAGACAATGTTATATATAAATCTTAAATTGATAATTTTTTTTTAAATGACTAGCATTTACAATACCCAATTCTCTGACAATTATGCGCATAAAAAACAGCTATATATCAAATATTTATTAATATTGGATTAATGATTTCTTGACCTGATTCAGCATTGAGGACCTTTGAATAAAATATAAAAATAATACATATTTAAAGTGTAAACTTTATATGTAAATTAATCAACAACACAATTCATTTCTTTTCATAAAATACTGATAACACCTCTATTTCCCCTTAATTAGGGATAATTCATTGTACAGCCTTATATTCAAAATAGTATATTTCCTGTTTAATAGCAAACTAATAACAACCTTTGTACAAATTCAGTAATTATAAATCAAAGTCTTGATTTGAGTACACTTCCAAAAGAGCTCGCATCTAAAGGGACATAACTCTTAGCTTCATTTGATAAATAATACAGAGGATCAGATATGACCCTGGGGTCAAATCCTTCTTTGACAAGGTCAACCTTGTGTTGTTTAAAGGTCACTGTAACTCTTGTTTGTTCCTCCAATCGTAGGAATAATGGTCTGGCATAACTTGGTAGATTTTTTAAACAATGATCATAAATATGCTTCAGTCTTTCTTCAGTCAACTTCTCACTTTCATTTAAATGCAATGCTGCCATTCCTGCTCTTCCATCTTGACCTACAAAAACAATTCATATTTTTGAATATAGGACAAAAAAAACACATTTTAAATATTTCAGTAAAATTAATTCAAATTATAGTTTTACTAGCATTGAGAACAAAGGTCTTTTGTGTACTCTTGTCATCAGAGCAAAAACTGACATCAATAACAGACAATAATTAGGTCAACTGATCTCCTCAACTGGCCACAATAACTGACAGTAATTATTGGCCTCAATAACTGACTGCAATTACTGGCCTCAAAAACTGACCTCAATGTATTTTATTCAGATTCTTGTAAAATGTAGTATTTTTTACTATTCCTTCTTATGCATTATCATATAACATTTAGCCCTGTATTTATCAATTTATGACATAAAAGTAACTGACATTTACCTGGAACATTTACACCATAAACATTAGCATCATGAATGAAGTCCATGGAAGTTAAAATATTGGCTACTTCATTGGTTGACACATTCTCTCCTTTCCATCTGTAATGTAAAACATAATATCAATAGTTAAGTGTCAGAAAATATTGGCTACTTCACTGGTTGACACGTTCTCTCCTTTCCATCTGTATTGTAAAACATAATATCAATAGTTTAAGTGTCAGAAAATATTGAGTCAAGTGTAAAAGATTAGCACATATCAATGAGGTTATAGTTCATGCAGTTCTCAATTTTGCTATTTTTTAAAGTGCTTATAAAATGTGTATTGCATAAACTGCATAGAATCAAATTATGCATGAAATGCATGTCTGGAGTATATGCATTATCAATGTCTAAATAAATAAAAAGCTTCTTACTAAAACACTGCATAAGTTATAGCTTGAAATTGAAAACTGAAGAAGTTAGTCAAATAAACTGTGTACCCAGCATGCATAATTTCACCAATAAAGGACAAAGTTCAACAAACTGTCTTTATGAAAACTTTAAAGAAAATCTAAATCCTGATAACTTACAAACCCTTTGTATATGTACTAATAGCCTTCATAATATAAAAGTTCTAGCCTGAAAACTGTAGAAAGGGTCTGCCAGACAAACCAAGTACCACTCATGCATAAAATATGAAAACAACACTTTATACATTTCATGCGTCCGAAGCGCTTTTCTGGATTTACCTTCATCAGGAACGCTCAAACCCGAATATTTGAAAGCCATAGATGTATAAAACCGAATCAGTTGAAGAGCTATATAATCAAAATTAACCTAAAATAATACCCAAATCCTTCTAAGGCCAACTTTGCTTGAGGGAATTGAAACCTTAGTATTTTCTTTATAATTTCAAAATTTATAAACGGGCAAATTTAGAAAGGTTTGTTATTAATCATAATATTCCCTAAAAATGACAAAGTTAAACATCCTGTCATATGTCGAAAATTCAAAGAATATAAAAATGCTTATTATATGCAAACCTTTAGTATATGTACTAATACCCTGCATTATATAAATGTACAGATTTGAAAACTGAAGACGTAGTTAGCCTAACAAACCATTTTCTCTATGTAAGGACAGACTAAAGATTGACAGACAGAAGAATGGATAGGGGTAAAACAATATTCCCTTGGAAATTGTGTGTTGGGAGCATAAAAAGCTTTAGCTTGAAAAATGTAGTGGCAGCCCAATTAACATAGCATATTTGTCCAAAGTATCTTTAAACATGAAGTGACAGCCTAAGGCCTCTCTGAAACTTTTTATACATGACCACACAACAGGAAAATGTTGAAGACCAAACAGCAAATATTTCTATAAAAGAAAAGCTGAAAAATAAGTTTAAAGAATCCATAGAATTATGAACCAGGGGGTGGACAGATGAATGGGGATGAACAGATGAATCGGAGGATACACAAAGTCATTAATGCTGTATACCATCAACACCTTCAGTTTGGATATAAAACCATTTTTCTAGAAATTGTTACTGAATTATTTGACACATGCTGTCTAATTATAATTTAAAGAATTTCATCCAAAACTAAATAATCAATATTTACCCAATAAAAATCATGATTAATCATGTATTTCTTAAAACTTTTATACTTTCATGTTACCAGTTATATATAAGCAATCAATCAGACATTGACATCTCTGCTTGTAGCAAAATACCTGAATGTGTCCCCAACTCTGTCTTGAAAGTAAATAAAGTAATCTTTGTCCATGTACATCAAATCACCAAAGTTAAAGAAAGAGTCACCATCTTTGAACACATTTCTTAGGACTTTCTTCTCATTCACTTCTTTAGGACCTTTGTAAAATCCATCTTTATAAAATTCTGGTATTCCTGCTATAAACAATCCTGGTTCACCTTGTAAATAAATCCATTAACATAAAATATTCACCTATATAATTAACATTAAATGATCATCTAGTAAATACAACTCGAAACGTAAAATATCCACCAGGTAAATACTTAATATAAAATGTTTATATCTTATTAATTACCATCATAATTATGTTCAACATGTAAGCTAATATCTGGCTTTATGAAATGTCACCAATGGAAAATAACAATACAATACCCTGTAACACAACAGCTTGTTTCATGACATGTCAACAGAAACAAAACACAAAATATTGTACCCAAATATATTGGATTATGATGTGTCAACAAATAAAACTTAACACAATACCCTGTTCACAATATCATGGAATAGGACATGTCAACAGACAAAACAACACAAAACATTGTAATCAAATATCTTGGATTATGACATGTCAACAGAAAAAACAACACAATACCATGTAACACAATAGCTTAGGTTATTTTTTGTCAACAGAAAAAAAAAACAAATCATAACACTGTAATCAAATATCTTGGAATATGACATGTCAACAACAAAAAACTTCACAATACCTTTAGGCCTGACACACAATAGATTGGATTGTGACTTGTCAAAAAACAGAAAAAAACCTTTGTAACCAAATATTTGGATTATGACATGTCAACATAAAAAACAAAACAATTTCTCACTTTGTGACATGTCAACAGACTTAACAAAACATTGTAACCAAATATCTTGGATTGTGACAGGTCAACAGAAAAACAACACAATAGGTTGGATTATTTAATGACATGTCAACAGACAAAACAAATCAAAACATTGTTATCAAATATCTTATTATGACCAAAAAAAAACATAAATACTTGTAATATAATAGCTTGCTTTATGATATGTCATCAGATAAAACAACACAAAATATTGCCGCCAAATATCTTGTTTTATGACATGTGAACAGAAAAAAACAGCACAACACTCTGCAACAGAATATTATAGCTTGGATTATTTTATGACAAAACAAATCATGAAACTTTAACAAAAAAAAAACATAAAAAAACTCAATACTATGTAATACAATAGCTTGTGTTATGACATGCCTACAGACAAAATAACCCAAAACTTGATGACTCAATACCTTAGTTTATGAAATATCTACAGACAAAATAACCTAAAACATTGCAACTCATATCTTTTGATTATGACATGTCAACAGACAAAACAAAACAAACTTAGATTTAAAAAAAAATGTAAACATAAAATTTGACATAAAATAAAATACATATTTCGAACTAAGATATGTGATGTATATTTCTTACCAAATTCCACAGAAAGACATCTGTTATTCTTATCTCTATATGGAGCATCTTTCAAGGGATCATATTTGATAATAGCCATTCCTGTGGGATGTAGTTTTTGCTGAAATTTTTAACAAAAAATAAACTGTTATCACAGAGATATGTCTCGCCTTTTTGTAATTTTGATAATGCAAATGTTGAAATTAAAATAGCAATACTTTAACATGTAAGTTATGCAAATATTCAAAGTCGATGAACCATGACTGAATGTACATGGCTAAACAATCTCCATGGAATGAGATGTGCCAATGCTAATACAACTGCATACCAAATACCATTGACTTATTATAAGTCGTTCCCTTTAAACAAACCTAAACACAAACATTAACTTGTAAACTATGTAAAAGTTTCAAAGTCAATGAACCATGATCAGGAGTGGGGCTATATAATCTCCATGGAAACGATACTTGCAAATGCCAATAAATTTGCATACCAAATATTATTGACTTAACATTAGCAGTTCATCTTAAACTGTTCTAATCACAAACTAATACATGTAAACTAAGCAAAAGTTTCTCCATGGAAATGAGATGTGCTAATGCTTATACAACTGAACACCAATTAACATTGGCCTACCACTAATGGTTCCCCATGAACTAGACCTAATCACAAACTAATACATTGTTGACGCTGCCGCCGTCGCCGCTGACGCCGGAAACAGCATACCTATGTCTCGCTTTTTTACTCCGTCAAGGCGAGACAAAAAACTAGTTAACTAAACTATAAGAGAAAAGAAATCCTTTATTTCATATTTGGTTATGAAAATATTTTTTACAAAAATTATGTTTTTTTTGCATAAAATAATTTAAGGTTAATGCATAATGTTTAACTGTTAGATCTTTCAATATAATTGTAATCTCTGTTATTTAAAGGGCAAAAGATAACATTAATAAAAGTTTTCTTCAAATAAATGGTAAGGGGTTCTGTAGAACACTGTGTCTTTAATGCTGACTTAAAAAGTGAGTCCATTTGTCAGTAGAATACAGAATTTAAAAAAAAATTCAAAGTTTTTCTTTAGATGCTATTTCTAGGTCTTGAAGATTAGCTTCTGTCCAAGTTTCATAACAATTCATGAAGGTTTACAAACTTATCTTGTAAAATAAATTTAATTCCTAGGTCAACTAAGTCCATCTATGAGATGATCGATCAAAAAAATACTGAAAATAAAAAAAAATATGTTTTCAAAAGTTTGCTTCAGACACTATCTTAATCATAAAAAAGCTTCTGCCAAAGTTTCATAAAATTCTATGAAGCTTTGACAAAGTAATTGATGTGTAACAAACTTTAACCCCAGACTGTATCTTCTTGTTAAATGTAAAATAAACTAAGTCAATTTATTAGTAAAACACAGAAAAATGAAAATAAACATTTTCAAAATTTTGCTCTGGATACTGTATTTTGGTCATTAACGAGCTTCTGTCCAAATTTCATAAAATTCCATGAAGGTTTGACAAAGTTATTGATGACTGAAAAACTTTAACCTCAGACTGAGCCTGAGTGTTAACTGTAAAATCAAAGAGCTTGAGAGCTCTGAGGGAAAAGACAGCCATTGTTTCTATTTTTTGGGGTATCTTTTGATAGTCTTCATACATAGAATAAGCAAAAGAACAGCTAGAACATGTAGAAAGGTTGACAATATTGAAATTAATTGTTGTTTAATGTAATTTCATTTCCTTAGTCAAGAATTCATCATGGAGTCAATGTTGACCAATGGAAGAGATTGGCACCTTCTTAATCAAAACATTTGATTAAAGTTGAAAGTTAATTATTATGCTGGGCAAGACGAGTTCACATATTCATGATATTTGGTAGTATATATTTTTTTCATGTAAAAATTAATACTCAGTATTGGCTATATAAATTGGTGAGTATTTCACAACATGGAAATTGGAAGCAGTTAAAATACTGTCTAAACAACAATGTTTGATTCAATAATTGTCTTAAAGAGAGGCCAAAGATACCGAGTAAAACAGTTAAATACCGATGAATCGATCAGGTTTCACATGATGTTTAACAAAATAATGTAGACAAATCTAGACATAGATTTTTTTACTGTTGAAATGTGCAAAGTTTATAGCGAGAAGTATTCTAAATTAATGTATATGTTATAAATGTCATTGATTACATTATTGAAAATGGACAGCTAAAATAGGGATAATATGTTCGTAAACATATATTTTTTTAAAAAGTGTTTATTGTGGAATACTTGTATTAATATAACAAGCTACAGCAAAAATTAAAACAAACCGACAAAATGAACTTGACTATCTGTCTTACGGCAAATTTATTTTACACGAATTAGTTTATGTATCAAGAACTATAAATTAAAGGATAGAACCGTTTAGAATTGTGAATATTTTAATTGACTAATACACGAAAGACTTAGATTATTCGTATTTAATAAAAGGGGGTCCAAACGTATTTTTTGTACAATCATCTTCTTAACTTACGGAAATTGCTTTTTAACTGTCTGTAAATATTAAAATTGAAAATGATCCAGCCTTGTTCTCCAATTTCATATGTGATGTCATATGAAGATCAAACTAACCAGAAATAGGAAAATTGGACTAAAATAAAAATTGAACGAATGACTCTATTCGGCAGTGTACATCAACGGAATGTAACGAATGGACTATTCGGGTTACTTCGCACATATATACGACAAAAACTTGTCCTTCGTAGTTTTCCGTGAACACGAAAATGACCAAAAAGTGTCAGTGATTTGATCGATCAAATGCGGAGAATCAACTTCCATGCCAGATATTAAACCAATTAACGAGTTAACGAAAGATGGGCGGTAACGCAGATGAAACCTTTGAAGTGACGACGTTGTTATTCCTTTTAAATATTACTTCCATGGTTTAATAAATCATGTGAAAGAAACAAAACCTCAAAATATTCTCCACTGAGAGGCAATAATGTATTTCCTAGATACAGTCTGCTCTAAGGAGACTAAAACAAACAAAGACTGTTTGCATGCATAGAACTGAAAGAAATAGCCCCCTACGGTCAGTACGGTGGATGGGAAACAAGTTGTCAAATGTCAACTATGCACATATATAATATAATCAATGTTAGATACCCAATTAATTCAAATAGGTTTTCAAAACTTCTATATATAAAGAACATAAAATGTGCATGTAATAAAACAGTGAAGTAGTAAATTTAATTAAAGGGTCTTGTTTATAGATCAAATATCTCAATATTTCAAGAGAGACAAATGCATTAGTAAAGTTAAGCTAGCCACTGAGAAATATTTTGAATTTCATTATGGTGGGTCAGATTATCAAAAGTCTCTGTGAAGGCAACTTTATTTATACTCACAAATAACTTAATAAAATGCAACTTAAATGACAACAAGAGTGCACATGCTGATATGTCTCGCCTGCTTTACTTGATTAAATTAAATTGCATACCGTACATTGTACACCAAATAAAGTTGGCATTTTGCATATACTAAGATACTATAAGCCAAAGGGCCAGAGAAACAGACCTGATTGCAATAATTGAACATTGACTAAATTAATGAACCATGAAAAAGAGGTCAAGGTCTGAAGAACCCTACCAGACAGACATGTACATCCTGCAATCATTCCTTACAACTAATATAGTTTACAGTATTTGATAAATGGACAAAACCATGAAAACTTGCCAGACAGACATGTCTACCTATTAACAACCATTCCATGACATATACCAATTATCATGAATATAATGCCCCTTATGGCTTATAGTATCATAGATAAAGCCCAAACAGGAAATATTTAAAACATTATCCAATGAACCCCAAAAAAGGTCAAGGTCAGATGAAACCGGTATAACGGCAATATACACCTTACATTCATCATTCATTCCATACACCAAATACAGCTAATCTTTTGTTTATAGTATCTGAAAAACAGACCAAACTACAAAAACACTTATAATTGACAAATGAACAATGAAAATGAGGTCAAGTTCAGGTGAACATGTACACTTTCAGTCATTCCACACACCAAATATAGTTGACCTATTGCATATAGTATCTGAGATACGGACTTGACAACGAAAACTTAACAAAAAACCTTGCAAGCATCCAATATACCAAATATAGTTACCCTATAACTCATAATAAGGGAGTATTTCACAGCGACAAAACAACTAGACATTCTGAGAGTATTGCATGGCAATACATATCACATCTCCTTATTTTTATGGTCCCCTATTGGTTAAAAATTCATTGAACTGGAACAACTAACTTGTTCTATAACTTTTCGTGGCCTTTAATTGTATATAATGAATATCAAATCAATATCTTCAAGCACGATGAATAATGTGTTGGAAACTGATTATATGAGTGAATTTTCTAAGTCTGAGGAACATAAGCAAAATAATCCTCCAAACCAAACAAAATTAAAACTTGATCTGTAACTTGTCATGGTAAAACTATATACCAATTATCAAATCAATTTATTCAAGCATAACAAAAATAAATGGGGAATGTGTCCATGGTACACAGATGATGCCCCTGCTTGCATATAACATTATAAAGGGACATAACTCAAGAACAGTAAAAGTGACGCTACCCAAAATCACATTTGAGGAAAACTGATTATTTGCATGAATTTTCCAAGTCCGAGGACCCAAATGCTGCAAAAAAATCATCCTAACCGAACAAAATTCAAATTTGAACTGTAACTGCATGGTCATGATAAAACTATATACCAAATATCAAACCAATATCTTCAAACATGAAGAAAAATAAATGGGGAATGTGTCCATGGTACACAGATGATGCCCCTGCTTGCATATAACATTATAAAGGGACATAACTCAAGAACAGTAAAAGTGACACTACCCAAATTCGCATACGATCTGTGTCAGAGTTCTTAGGGCAAACTTAAGATAGAGAACGGAAACAAAAAGTTCAGCCATTTTTCCATTTGTAAAGTGACGCCACCCAAATCCAATCTTGATCTCAGTTTTGTAGTAATAAGCATTGTGTATAAAATTCATAACATTTGGTTTAGACAAACTAAAGTTAGAGAACGCAGCAATTTTTCAATTTGTAAAGGGCATAACTCTAGAAAGGTAAAAGTGACGCCACCCAAATTCAATCGATCTGTAAAACGGAAACGATTTTTCCATTTGTATAGAGGCATAACTCTAGAACGGTAAAAGTGATGCCACCCAAATTCAATCTTGATCTCAGTTTTGTAGTAATAAGTATTGTGTATAAAATTTATAACATTTGGTTTAGGCAAACTAAAGTTAGAGAACGCAGCAATTTTTCAATTTGTAAAGGGCATAACTCTAAAAAGGGAAAAGTGATGCCACCCAAATTCAATCGATAAGTATTTTGTGGTAATAAGCATTGTGTATAAGTTTCATTACATTTGGTTGAGGCAAACTAAAGTTAGAGAAACCAATTTCGGGACAAACGGACACACAGATGGACAAAGGTAAAACTTAATGTCCCTCCGCTACGGCGGGGGGCACAAAAATGTGGAAAACTGATTTGCAGGACTGACAGATGGACAGACAGACGGAGAGTGCAAACCTAAACTTCATTGATAGGGGACTGAAAATATTCACCATGAAAATGGCAATAGACATATGACAGACAGGAAACTTTGTAACACAAGGCATTTGCATATAGGTATAAAATATAAAGTTTTATCATGTTTATACAAATAGTTTATGCCATCGCTGCCACTGGATTGTAATCCCTATATCTTTCATTCTGTGATTTTCGACACGTGAGACAAAAAGATCAAGGTTTAATGAATAATGATTAATATACTTATCATCTAATAGACTGATCATTTTATTTCATTGGGGGACCTGCCAGGATGGAAAAATTGGAATTTCTCTTACTTTTTTCCAAGTCCCACCTTGATTGGCTTGAAGGAAAATAAATTCAAGACCCCCTTCCAAAAGACATGAATATTTCAACACTCCTCCCTACAAATTTCTCAAGACTTTAATACTGCCTGTTTCTGTATTGACCCCATTATAACTTATAGGTTCAATGTTCTCATGGTTATATTAGCTTATTGGCCCTGAGCAGAAACTTGAAGAGATGAGGGCCAATACATATATGATCATGAATCTATAAAAGGGCCAATACAGAAACAGCCAGTTCATAAGACTTTTATCATATGATACAAATTCTTTGATTGAAAAAAAAAAGAAACTTACTGTTAAAAACATTGTAGGTACAGGAAATCACATTTGAACTTGTTCTTCCCAGTCATGACAATTTGTTTTGTCAATTTTATTGAGATTTCTGATTTCCAGTCCAGGTACTTAATTTATGCTAATGCAATATTTATCTAGCAAACATAAAGTACTTGGGAAGAATATTCAGACATTATGTTTTTTTTTTGACGAAAATGAAACAATGACAATGATAATAAATTGAAAATTCTACTTGGAAAGGTTGTGGAATGTTTCCGCAAATCGTAATAAAAAACGGATCATAATAAAATTTTCTTGTTATTCAGAATTGAAAAATGTGTCTTCCAATTTCTTTTAAATACGTCTATTCCAGGTTAAGATGCGTCCAACATAATTTGGAAGCGAAAATCTGCCACCAGAAGTGAAAATCCTGTATTGCTTTTCTGACTTTTTCCTGTATTGGACTAGGCCGAAAAGCAATATTTACTCATGATTTATGTCAACAGGAAGACGTCAACAGTATTACACATGCTGATTTATTTGTATTAGGACTGATTTTCTAATATCATTTAAAAAATATAAATATTACACAAGGAACGAAATTGCATACATATAAATATTCAATGAGGTACGAAATGGTAAGGGTACGAAATAACATGATTTCTGTGAATGATTTTAATAATGAGTAAAGGATATCCCTGCTTCTACGAAGTGTGGAATTCCAACCATGACGTCACTAGGTTGGATATATTTAGAATATTTCGTAATACTGATTTTTTTTATTGTAAAAGAAACGTAGATAGTGTAAGGGAGAGCTCAAGATACGATCATTTTACGACAAACAGAAGGGAAATGTGTAAAAAAGTGTTTAAAGTCAATCTGTTCATTTGTTTATCTCCTTCTCATCAATTCAGTATTAAATTTTGAGGTATTTTCCAACGATAACACAAAATGATTGACGTGAGAGGCTTGGAAGTCTGGCCAACCAAATAGGGAATTGACAGCTTGAAGCAAAAACTTTAACCTGAAGTGGGACAGACGGACGGACGGACGGATGAACGGACGAATGAACGGACGCACAGACCAGAAAACATAATGCCCCAACTACTATTATAGGTGGGGCATAAAAATTGTATGTTCACCATGTTCAGTGGACAAACAATGGTCCCTATAGTGGATGGAATGAAGATGGACAGAGATAATCATGATCCTGTTATCCTATTGGGGTCAGTGGACAAACAATGGTCCCTATAGTGGATGGAATGACAGATGGACAGAGATAATCATTATCCTGTTATCCTATTAGGGTCAGTGGACAAATAATGTCCCTATAGCAGATGGAATGACAGATGGACAGAGAAAATCATTATCCTGTTATCTTATTGGGGTCAGTGGACAAATAATGGTCCCTATAGCGGATGGAATGACAGATGGTCAGAGAAAATCATTATTCTGTTATCCTATTGGGGTCATGAAAAGCTGCACGAGAAATACTTACAAGAAGTGGAGAAAGTCTTCCACAAGCACCAACCCTGCCGTTAACATTAAATGTGGCAGATGTTCCTTCTGAGGCACCAAAAAATTCTACAATTTTCGGTATATTAAATCTATCCCGAAACTTCTCCCAAATGTCTTTTCTAAGTCCGTTACCTACAGCTACCTTTATCTTATGTTCTTTATCTTTTGGATGCTGAAAATAGAAAACGTTAAATATTGTAATTTTCCTGAACAGACATAAAATATGCCTTTAGGTTGGGAACATTTTCTATCTTGTTAATTGTTGAAACTATAATTAAAACAATCTTTAATTCATCTAAAAGAGTAAATATTTTAGTCAGTTTTCTAAAATATTGTGTTACGTGAACTTCTTCATAAGATAAGCTCCCAGTCAGTACATCTTGGAAATGTTTGAAAACATGTTGATTTTATGCATTTTTCGGACCTATAGGCTAAATGAAAACCTTAGGTAGCAACCAACCATAACCAAGAGCTGCGCCATGAGCGCATGATACGCCCGTCGCTTTTTCAAAGAATAAAGTTCCATAACTCCTCAATGTCATATCAGAAATTAATAAAAAAAACTAAAGGGAGGTTATTTCAATAGATATAAAACAGTCACCAAAGTTTCATGAAAAATGCTCAAAGCGCTTCTGAGTTACTGTCTGAAAACTGGAAAATCCTCCCTTTTTAATGAATAAAAACTCAGAAACGTAAAATCTAAAATTTGTAAAAATCGAAAGGGAGCTTACGCCAATAGATATAAACAATTCACCAAAGTTTCACGAAAACTGCTCAAAGCATTTTTGAGTTATTGTCCAAAAACTGGAAAATCCCCCTTTTTTAATGAATAAATCCCCATAACTCAGAAATGTAAAATCTAAAATTTATAAAAATTGAAAGGGAGCTCATGTCAATACATGTAGATATAAACTTTTCAACAAAGTTTCATGCAAATTGGTTAAAGCGTTTTTGAGTTATTGTCCGACATGTTGACGATAGACAGACAGACAGACAGAAGGACAACGGTATACCACATTACGTCCTGTAAACAGGCTTATAAAAAACGTTCTGTAACCAAAATGTTGCAAGATTTATATTGAATCCCTTGACACAACAATTTTCTTAATTTTCTGGTATGACGTAAATACTACAGGGAAGTTCTTGAACTTATAAATTCTTCTATATTCAGGTCTGTGCGCACCATAGAGAGTAAAAAAGTTAACAATCATATCATTGACACATCTCAGCTTAAAGCCTCCTCTGAACATTTGAAGGTTCCTACTATGTATTTGCCACCTAAAATATAAAAAAATAACCTGCCAAATATCGTTTCATCTCAGCAAGAACAGCTAGCAAATATCTACGGAGGTCGTCTGTATACTGTATTTTGTAACATACCTCAGGTACAGTTTGTAGTTAACAAAATAGTTCCATTGTCACATACCTGTGGTACATCTAATAGATATCTAGAGTTTTCCAATAAAGTGTTTCATTATAACATACATCAGATGTACAGTAGTTGTCGTCTGTTTATGTAGTTCATACGTGTTTCTCGTTTCTCGTTTTTATATACTGTGGATTCATTTATTTTCGTGGGTACCAATTTTCGTGGATTAAGGAAAACTTACATGTTCGTTGATGTTTAATTTCGTGGTTTTGACGAAGTCTGCATACAAGCCTATGGAAAATTTGTTATTTGTTGAACATTTAATTTCGTGGTTCACCTGTACCCACGAAATCCACGAAAAAATGGTATCCAACGAATAATAATGATTCCACAGTAGATTAGATTGTTGGTTTTTCTGTTTGAATGGTTTTACACTAGTAATTTTTGGGGCCCTTTATAGCTTGCTGTTCGGTGTGAGCCAAGGCTCCCTGTTGAAGGCCGTACCTTGACCTATAATGGTTTACTTTTATAAATTGTTACTTGGATGGAGAGTTGTCTCATTGGCACTCATACCACATCTTCCTATATCTATCAGGTACAGCCAGTATATATTTACAGACACATGCAGAGTTCTCCAATTGACTGTTTCATTGTAACATACCTCAGGTACAGCTAGAAGATATCTACAGAGTTCTCTAATTGACTGTATCATTGTAACATACCTCAGGTACAGCTAGAAAATATCTACAGAGTTCTCTAATTGACTATATCATTGTAACATACCTCAGGTACAGCTAGAAGATATCTACAGAGTTCTCTAATTGACTGTTTCATTGTAACATACCTCAGGTACAGCTAGAAGATATCTTCAGAGTTCTCTAATTGACTGTATCATTGTAACATACCTCAGGTACAGCTAGAAGATATCTACAGAGTTTGATTGTAACTTACCTCAGGTACAGCTTGTAGATATCTACAGAGTTCCAATTTAACATACCTCAGGTACAGCTAATAGATATCTACAGTGTTCCAATGTAGCATACCTCAGGTACAACTAGTAGATATCTACAGAGTTCCAATGTAACTTACCTCAGGGACAGCTAATAGATATCTACAGAGTTCCAATGTAACATACACTTCATGTACAGTTAGAAGATATCTACAGTGGTCCAATGTAGCTTACCTCAGGTACAGCTAATAGATATTTACAGAGTTCCAATGTAACATACCTCAGGTACAGCTAGTAGATATCCAGAGTTCCAATGTAATATACCTCAGGTACAGCTAATAGATATCTACAGTGTTCCAATGTAACATACCTCAGGTACAGCTAGTAGATATCTAGAGAGTTCCAATGTAACATATTTGAGGTACAGCTAGTAGATATCGACAGAGTTCCAATGTAACATACACTTCATGTACAGTTAGAAGATATCTACAGTGGTCCAATGTAACTTACCTCAGGTACAGCTAATAAATATCTACAGAGTTCCAATGTAGCATTCCTCAGTTACAGCTAGTAGATATCTACAGAGTTCCAATGCAACATACCTCAGGTACAGCTAGTAGATATCGACAGAGTTCTCCAATATATTGAATGACTGTGACATTGTGTCTTCTGCAGTCCTCAAAATAATGATGAGCAGAAAACTTTGTCCGTAGTAAAATTGTATTACCTAAAGAGAAATGACAGAACTAAAATCACTGCTGATCTCATTGGAAACAGTCAATGTCACCACATATCTAGTGATTTTATTGAAAACAGCCAATGACACCAAATACCTGGTGATTTCATCAAACAAAAGTCATGGCTAAATCAGGTATACATTTTGTACATCCACTTATCACATTAGACCACAGTCAATGACACCAAATATCTGATGATTTCATCAAACAAAAGTCATGGCAGTAACTTAAAGCTAAATCAGATAAACATCAACTTATCACATTGAACCAGTCAATAACACCAATTATTCCATATTGATAGAACTTTAGTAGGTTTTTCTATATGAATGGGATTTTGAATAAATAAGCATATTCACCTGCAGAAAAAGTATATTCACCGCGCAAAACGTTGCGTGCTTTTACGTGTATAATAACGATTCAATGTTTGACGTTTAGTTGGTTTTGGTAAATAACTGTTATTTTATACATATTTTTCTCGCTCGAAACATGGAATAAAACAATTACTGTCTTTTGTTTCGGTAAATATGTGGTTTAATTGACTTTTGAAAAACCTAGTGACATTCACTTCGGCCGTTGGCCTCAGTGAATATCAGTTTTTCAAAAGTCAATAAAACCACATGTTTACCTCATCAAAAGACAGTAATTGTATAATATCGCCTTTAAAGTCCGCTAACCTTATCATATAATGGTCAATGATACAAAATATCAGATTAGTATTAGCTTATCAATTACAGTCATTAATACCAAATATCACCTTAACATTGGCTGATCTCATTGAACAACAGACAATAACAACGAATATCATCTTTACATTGGCTGATCTCAATGAACAACAATCAATAACACCATTTAGGAATAACATCAACAATAACTTAGTATCATCAGAAAACAGTGAATAACATCAAATATCAGCTAATATCTTCAGAAAACAGTGAATAATATCAAACATCAGCTGATATCTTCAGAAAACAGTGAATAACATCAACATCAGCTGATATCATCAGAAAACAGTGAATAACATCAATATCAGCTGATATCATCAGAAAACAGTGAATAACATCAAACATCAGCTGATATCATCAGAAAACAGTGAATAACATCAAACATAAGCTGATATCATCAGAAAACAGTGAATAACATCAACGTCAGCTGATATCATCAGAAAACAGTGAATAACATCAAAGTCAGCTGATATCATCAGAAAACAGTGAATAACATCAACATCAGCTGATATCATCAGAAAACAGTGAATAACATCAAACATCAGATGATATCATCAGAAAACTGAATATCATCAAACATCAGCTGATATCATCAGAAAACAGTGAATAACATCAAACATCAGCTGATATCATCAGACAACAGTGAATAACATCAACGTCAGCTGATATCATCAGAAAACAGTGAATAACATCAAACGTCAGATGATATCATCAGAAAACAGTGAATAACATCAACATCAGCTGATATCATCAGAAAACAGTGAATAACATTAACATCAGCTGATATCATCAGAAAACAGTGAATAACATCAACGTCAGCTGATATCATCAGAAAACAGTGAACAACATCAACATCAGCTGATATCATCAGAAAACTGAATATCATCAAACATCAGCTGATATCATCAGAAAACAGTGAATAACATCAACATCAGCTGATATCATCAGAAAACTGAATATCATCAAACATCAGCTGATATCATCAAAAAACAGTGAATAACATCAAACATCAGCTGATATGATCAGAAAACAGTGAATAACATTAAACGTCAGCTGAAATCATCAGAAAACAGTGAATAACATCAAACGTATGCTGAAATCATCAGAAAACAGTGAATAACATCAAACGTCAGATGATATCATCAAAAAACAGTGAATAACATCAATATCAGCTGATATCATCAGAAAACAGTGAATAACATTAAACGTCAGCTGATATCATCAGACAACAGTAAATAACATCAAATGTCAGCTGATATCATCAAATGACAGTAAATAACATCAAATGTCAGATGAAATCATCAGACAACAGTGAATAAAACATCAGACATCAGCTGATATCATCAGACAACAGTGAATAACATCAAAAGTCAGCTGGTATCATCAGAAAGCAGTGCACAATATCAAACGTCAGCTGATATCATCAGACTACAGGGAATATATATTACATCAGACAACAGTGATATCTATAATGTCAAACATCACTCAGGATGAGTGAGGTGACAGTGTGATACCTACCACAATCTATAGTTGAAAACAAGGCTAAAATAGCAGCACTGTGGTAGAGAGGGGTTACAGTATACACTATATCATCATGTTCCAGTCCACCAAGGTATAAAAACTTGCTCATTCCTAAAGCTTTGGTTTGGTTTATAATAGCTGGCTTGGGTAGACCTAGAAGACAAACACAGGTACATTATATTTTTTTCATTTCAAAAACAAAAATCAATTGAAGTTAATTGTCAGAGTTATATGTTTACCAATAGATTTGCTTTTATGTTGTTGTGTTTTTTATTATGTTGTTTTTTGTTGTGTTTTTTATTATGTTGTGAAGTTGTTGACTCAATGGTGTACCAGTATATCCCTACATTATCCTCTTATCCCATTTATTATGTTGTGAAGTTGTTGACTCAATGGTGTACCAGTATATCCCTACATTATCCTCTTATCCCATTTAGTTATTATGTTGTGAAGTTGTTGACTCAATGGTGTACCAGTATATCCCTACATTATCTTCTTATCCCATTTATTATGTTGTGGAGTTGTTGACTCAATGGTGTACCAGTATATCCCTACATTATCCTCTTGTCCCATTTATTATGTTGTGGAGTTGTTGACTCAATGGTGTACCAGTATATCCCTACATTATCCTCTTATCCCTTTTTATTATGTTGTGGAGTTGTTGACTCAATGGTGTACCAGTATATCCCTACATTATCCTCTTATCCCATTTATTATGTTGTGGAGTTGTTGACTCAATGGTGTACCAGTATATCCCTACATTATCCTCTTATCCCATTTATTATGTTGTGAAGTTGTTGACTCAATGGTGTACCAGTATATCCCTACATTATCCTCTTATCCCATTTAGTTATTATGTTGTGAAGTTGTTGACTCAATGGTGTACCAGTATATCCCTACATTATCTTCTTATCCCATTTATTATGTTGTGGAGTTGTTGACTCAATGGTGTACCAGTATATCCCTACATTATCCTCTTGTCCCATTTATTATGTTGTGGAGTTGTTGACTCAATGGTGTACCAGTATATCCCTACATTATCCTCTTATCCCATTTATTATGTTGTGAAGTTGTTGACTCAATGGTGTACCAGTATATCCCTACATTATCCTCTTATCCCATTTAGTTATTATGTTGTGAAGTTGTTGACTCAATGGTGTACCAGTATATCCCTACATTATCTTCTTATCCCATTTATTATGTTGTGGAGTTGTTGACTCAATGGTGTACCAGTATATCCCTACATTATCCTCTTATCCCTTTTTATTATGTTGTGGAGTTGTTGACTCAATGGTGTACCAGTATATCCCTACATTATCCTCTTATCCCATTTATTATGTTGTGGAGTTGTTGACTCAATGGTGTACCAGTATATCCCTACATTATCCTCTCATCCCATTTATTATGTTGTGGAGTTGTTGACTCAATGGTGTACCAGTATATCCCTACATTATCCTCTTATCCCATTTATTATGTTGTGAAGTTGTTGACTCAATGGTGTACCAGTATATCCCTACATTATCCTCTTATCCCATTTATTATGTTGTGAAGTTGTTGACTCAATGGTGTACCAGTATATCCCTACATCATCCTCTTATCCCATTTAGTTATTATGTTGTGAAGTTGTTGACTCAATGGTGTACCAGTATATCCCTACATTATCTTCTTATCCCATTTATTATGTTGTGGAGTTGTTGACTCAATGGTGTACCAGTATATCCCTACATTATCCTCTTGTCCCATTTATTATGTTGTGGAGTTGTTGACTCAATGGTGTACCAGTATATCCCTACATTATCCTCTTATCCCTTTTTATTATGTTGTGGAGTTGTTGACTCAATGGTGTACCAGTATATACCTACATTATCCTCTTATCCCATTTATTATGTTGTGGAGTTGTTGACTCAATGGTGTACCAGTATATCCCTACATTATCCTCTCATCCCATTTATTATGTTGTGGAGTTGTTGACTCAATGGTGTACCAGTATATCCCTACATTATCTTCTTATCCCATTTATTATGTTGTGGAGTTGTTGACTCAATGGTGTACCAGTATATCCCTACATTATCCTCTTGTCCCATTTATTATGTTGTGGAGTTGTTGACTCAATGGTGTACCAGTATATCCCTACATTATCCTCTTATCCCTTTTTATTATGTTGTGGAGTTGTTGACTCAATGGTGTACCAGTATATACCTACATTATCCTCTTATCCCATTTATTATGTTGTGGAGTTGTTGACTCAATGGTGTACCAGTATATCCCTACATTATCCTCTCATCCCATTTATTATGTTGTGGAGTTGTTGACTCAATGGTGTACCAGTATATCCCTACATTATCCTCTTATCCCATTTATTATGTTGTGAAGTTGTTGACTCAATGGTGTACCAGTATATCCCTACATTATCCTCTTATCCCATTTATTATGTTGTGAAGTTGTTGACTCAATGGTGTGCCAGTATATCCCTACATTATCCTCTTATCCCATTTAGTTATGATCAGAATAACGCTTTCAAGAAGGATAATGGGTTTTTTTCTGTTGATTTTTATTTTTGAGGCTATAACCTAATATTCTTCCCTTCCCCAAAATAATGAAATCAGTTTTCATTGTTGTTATCTACTTTTCTACTGTTTAAAGTTTCATACCACATTACATGTACTTGTTCTGAACCATGTGGTGGTATAAAAATATTAATGGTTATAAAATGAGCAAGTTAAATGACCAAAATTTCAGAGAAATCATTAAGTCAGATATTGTATTTCTATCAGAAACTCATTCTTTTTCTAATGATGTTTTATACCTTGAAGGATATAAATGTTTTGTTAATTGTAGATCTACTGAAAGTAGTAGAAAAAGAGGGGGCTTAGCTGTATTTGTAAGGAGAACAATAATAGGTGGTGTGAAATTAGTTGATAAATTTCTGAATGACATGCTATGGTTTAAATTAGACCACACCTACTTTGGTCTTAAAAGTGATCTTTATATTTGCTTTGTGTACATATCACCCTCTAATTCATCATATACATTAAGAACTGGTATGGATAAAGAAATATTTGAAAAACTTGAGACTGATATTTCTAATTTTAACTCAGTAGGTGAAGTCATGATAATGGGAGATCTGAAAGCTCATATTGAATCAAAAGAAATAGATTTTATATGCGATGAACTAAATGACCCTTTGGAAGACTTTTTTCTACATACTACATTGTGGATAATGTACAAATTAAACGAAATACTCAAATTCCACAACGTACAAATAGCTATGGAAAAAGTATCATAGAAATGTGTACTAGCTCCGAATTACGTATTTTAAATGGACGTACTTTAGGAAACTCTATAGAACTTTAGGTAGGAATCCTTGGGATTCTAGTTTGAGACTAAAAATTTTTACAGAGAGAAAAAACTTCAACAAGCTTGTACGTAAAAAAACATAGGGTCTATAAAAATCAAATACTAAAAAATACACTTGACCTATCCATCTGGATCTTTTACTACAGCAATTGATCAGTTATCTAAAAAGGCTAACAAAGCTATTTTTTGTATTAGAAAATTATTATATTCTAAAAAGATGAATTTACTACCACATTTAAAGCTTTTTGATTCATGTGTTAAACCTATTTTATTATATAGCAGTCAAGTTTGGGCTACTGTTAGTTTAGTGAAACAAAATACTACCATCGAGTCAAACTATGCAAACTTTAGTCCAAATAAGATTCAAATCAAATTTGCTAAATTTTTATTGGGTGTAAATAAAGGTGCTGTGAATAATGCTGTACTTGCTGAATTAGGTTTATTCCCACTTTCATTGTCAGCCCTTAAAAATACAACTAATTTCTGGATTCATATAATTAATATGAATAGCAAGAGTATGGTAAAGAAAGCATACAGTGAAAACTTTAACATGTCTAATGGTTTTTGTAGTAAAATAAAAGTGTTATTAGGTAAACTTGGTTTTCAGCATGTTTGGGAAAATCAAAATACTATGTCAAAGACAAAATTACCTTTTTCAGTTCAAAAGAAATTAGAGGAGGAATTCATAAAATCCTTGAAACAAGCTATTTTTTGTGACTCTTATAAAGATAGTCATGGTAATAAACTAAGAACGTATCGCATAGTTAAAAATAATTACGAATTAGAAAAATATCTCCTACTGGACCTTAACAAAAATGTTATTTCTAAAATGGTAATAAACTGCTTCGCTGAGCGCAGCTAGATACGCCCGCAGAGGTCCAACCCTGAACAGTTGGGGCAAAAATGGACACAGTATTCAAGCTTGAATCAGGTCTGAATTTGGATTGTAATTAAATATTTGACATATTATAGGTTTCTGAAAAAATGTAGTCAAAGAACTTGAAATTGGTTATATGAATTGAATTTTAATATATTCAATTAATAAAGATTTCTTGCTGTTGTGCAATACTTAGTAAATCTGTTGTCAGACTATAAACAAATAAGGTTCAATTTATTCTCAATGTCATATTAGAAATTTATGAAAATAAAAAGGGAGCTTACATCAATAGATATAAACAATTCACCAAAGTTTCATGAGAATTGGTGACAGCATTTTTGAGTTATTGTCCGAAAACTGGAAAATCACCCCTTTTTTTAATGAATAAAACCCCATAACTCAGAAATGTAAAATGTAAAATTTATAAAATTCAAAAGGGAGCTTATAAAAAATTACATCAATACATACAAACAATTCACCAAAGTTTCATAAGAATTGCTGAAAGCATTTTTGAGTTTTTGTCCAAAAACTGGAAAATCCCCGCTTTTTTATGAATAAAACCCTGTAACTCGGAAACGTATAATCTAAAATTTATAAAAATCAAAAGGGAGCTCATGTCAATAGATATAAACAATTCACCACAATTTCTTGCAAGTTGGTGAAAGCATTCTTGACTTATTGTCCGAAAACTGAAAAATCCCCCCTTTTTAATGAATAAAACCCCATAACTCGAAAACGTAAAATCTAAATTTTATAAAAAACAAAAGGGAGCTCACGTCAATAGATATAAACAATTCACCAAAGTTTTATGCAAATTGGTTAAAGCATTTTTGAGTTAATGTCCGACATGTAGACGACGGACAGACGGACGGACGGACAACGGTATACTATAATACGTCCTGTAAACGGGCGTATAAAAATTAGAATTAGTAATAGCCAATTACTATTAGAAGTTAGTAGATATACTAGAACGCCTTTAGAACAGAGAATTTGTCCACTTTGCAAGGATGGAATTGAAGATGAATTCCATTTCCTTATTAAATGTAAAGAGTTAGAATTTAATAGACATATACTCTTTTGTAATTTAAGTGATATAGTTCCATCTTTTGCTAATATGCCTGAACAAGATAAATTTAGTTTCATTTTGAAAAGTAATGATACTGACATTTGTACTGTATGTGTAGCTGGAATAAGCAAAATGTATGATTCGAACATTCATTTAAAGCAAACATAATGTTGTTAAGAACTGTTGTAGTATTAAAGCTTATTGTAATAGCTTGAAGTGATAATATAGTATGAATAACACCTCCATGCAATGTAGATATAAAATATGTGTCTCTTATCATTGAGAAAATATATCTCTGTATATTTGTTTTTTGTTTATTTTTGTCTGTTTTTGTATTTGTATTTTGTAAATGTCAGGTGGTATCATTCCTGTATTGGAATTTACACCAATAAAATTATTTGATTTGATTTGGTATTTGTTGCTTGACATTAAGACTTCATTAATCAATCAATAAATCTTTTGACCATGTCAATTATAACTTATTGATTATTATATACCAAGAGATTTTTCACAATGAAAAGTCTACTCACATTCCAAATGAAACCCCCATAATCACAGACATTCCTTGTAAAACTTTGATCTAAGATCATTTTAATGCAATAACCAGATGGTGTGTAATTTCATTGCCTGAAGCATTCTGGTACAAAATTTCCCAAAATAAAATTGAGAATGGAAATGGGGAATGTGTCAAAGAGACAACAACCCGACCATAGAACAGACAACAGCAGAAGGTCACCAACAGGTCTTCAATGCAGCGAGAAATTCCCGCACCCGGAGGCGTCCTTCAGCTGGCCCCTAAACAAATATATATACTAGTTCAGTGATAATGAACGCCATATTAAACTCCAAATTGTACACAAGAAACTAAAATTAAAAATAATACAAGACTGACAAAGGCTAGAGGCTCCTGACTTGGGACAGGCGCAAAAATGAGGCGGGGTTAAACATGTTTATGAGATCTCAACCCTCCCCCTATACCTCTAGCCAATGTAGAAAAGTAAACGCATAACAATACGCACATTAAAATTCAGTTCAAGAGAAGTCTGAGTCTGATGTCAGAAGATGTAACCAAAGAAAATAAACAAAATGACAATAATACATAAATAACAACAGACTACTAGCAGTTAACTGACATGCCAGCTCCAGACTTCTTCTGGATAGTTCTAATTATACTGTATTTTTGTTGAAGTCTGTTTAAACCTACCTGTTGTTCCTGAGGTGTAGATGTAACAGCAGGGAGTCAATGGATTCATCCCTGTTCTCATGGTACGGCTAATTTCTGCATGGGGAGCAGATAACATCAACTGATCCCATGACTGGTACCCTGTTGGTGCTTCTCCTATTCCTGTTCCCATCAGATAGACGGGGATGGGCAGTTCCTGTTTTATATCGTCAACATTATGAAACAGCTCACTTCCTGAGGAGAAAAGTATTTGTATTTTTACATAATTGTAAAAAATATGGTTACATTTCTGTACTCCTTGAACTATTTCAAAATAACGTTGCAGAAAAAGATCTGAACCACCCAAAAAGTACTTCTAAAAAGATCATTTTTCATTGATGTACTTTGAAAAGGACTTATTTTCCTTGGCTGCTTTGTTGAAGGGCAACCATTTTGATTTTTATATATAAGACTAACCACATTCAAACATGTAGCACAAGCAAGTCTGATAAAAGATCCTTCTTAATTTGTAGTGATGAACTATACAAGACTAAATGATAATAATGTTCTGAAAATAACTTTTTCTTTTTTCTATTGGTCTGTTTAACAATTTGAACTTGGTTGATATATGAAGGAATTTGTATATATAAATGTATGTTGCCTTTCGACATGGGAGCAAAGGTAGATAACTCAAATTATTTCATTTGAAAACTATCTATTGCTCATAAATATATCATTATCAATTCAAAAAATTACAAGAGTTTAATATCTAGACAAAAGATAGATATATACTAGCAAGACAATTGTTACATCAAAAAGTATGTAATTTCAACAAACATAGTACATTCATCATGTATATGAAAACAGATCTAAATATTATTATCTATTTTTTCCCTTCTAAATTGATGTATCGTTCAACAGTATTTATTTTGTTTGATGTTGAAGTTGACCATACAATGACTTTACTAATTTCTAAGAAAATATAACTTGTAGTTTATATATATATTACAATCAGTACTTTGGCTAAATGATTTCATTGTAGAGATATTACCTTGACCAACAATCAGTACTTTCACTTTACTGATGTTGTTGAAGAGACATTACCTTGGCAAGCAATTAGTACTTTGGCTTTACTGATGTCATTGAAGAGACATTACCCATTGAAGAGACATTACTTTAACAAACAATTAGTACTTTGGCTTTACTGATGTCATTGAAGAGACATTACCATGACCAATAATTAGTACTTTGGCTATACTGATGTCATTGAAGAAACATTACCCTGACCAACAATTAGTACTTTGGCTTTACTGGTGTCATTGAAGAGACATTACCAATTGAAAAGACATTACCTTAACCAACAATTAATCCTTTGGCTTTACTGATGTCATTGAAGAGACATTACCTTGACCAATAATTAGTACTTTGGCTCCACTGATGTCATTGAAGAGACATTACCTTGACCAACAATAGGTACTTAAGCCTTACTGATGTCATTGAAGAGACATTACCTTGACCAACAATCAGTACTTTTAGCTTTACTGATGTCATTGAAGAGACATTACCTTGACCAACAATAGGTACTTTGGGTTTACTGATGTCATTGAAGATACATTACCTTGACCAACAATTAGTACTTTTAGCTTTACTGGTGTCATTGAAGAGACATGACCTTGACCAACAATAGGTACTTTGGCTATACTGATGTCATTGAAGAGACATAACCTTGACCAACAATCAGTACTTTTAGCTTTACTGATATCAATGAAGAGACATTACCTTGACCAAGAATAGGTACTTTTAGCTTTACTGATGTCATTTTAGAGACATTACCTTGACCAACAATAGGTACTTTTTCTTTACTGATGTCATTTTAGAGACATTACCTTGACCAACAATTAGTACTTTGGCTTTACTGATGTCACTGAAGAGACATTACCTTGACCAACAATAGGTACTTTGGCTTTACTGATGTCATTTTAGAGACATTACCTGGACCAGCAATTAGTACTTTGGCTTTACTGATGTCATTGAAGAGACATTACCTTGACAAACATTAGGTATTATGGCTTTACTGATGTCATTGAAGAGACATTACCTTGACCAACAATTAGTACTTTGGCTTTACCGATGTCATTGAAGAGACATTACCTTGACCAACAATTAGTACGTTGGCTTTACTGATGTCATTGAAGAGACATTACCCTGACCAACAATCAGTACTTTGGCTTTACTGATGTCATTGAAGAGACATTACCCTGACCAACAATTAGTACTTTTGCTCTACTGATGTCATTGGAGAGACATTACCTTGACCAACAATTAGTACTTTGGCTTTACTGATGTCATTGAAGAGACATTACCCTGACCAATAATCACTACTTTAGCTTTACTGATGTCATTGAAGAGACATTACCTTGACCAACAATTAGTACTTTGGCTATACTGATGTCATTGAAGAGACATTACCTTGACCAACAATCACTACTTTAGCTTCACTGATTTCTATGGAATGTAGTAGTGGCTTATGTTTGTTATTTGTGTTCAGCAAAGCAACTGCAACTCCAATTTTCTGCATACCTATGGAAAGACAATAATATATAAAAGAGAAAATCTTTGCATACATTTGGAAATTAATGATAAGTATATCTAATATAGAAAAAAAACATCTGACAACATTGCATTAAACATGTTAAAAAAGAGATAAAATATGGATGCTCTGAAAAGATTAACATTTATCTGTTTAAGAAACCAGGGGTTATCTCTTACTACATTATACAAAAGTTCCATAGTGTGCTGTCAGATCCATATCAAATTAATTATCAGCAGAAAGGTACATATTCTGGTTTTTTAAAAACCACATAGGACATGTTTTTCAACAAACAATCGACATTCCCATGGGAACCAACTATGCTCCTCTTCTTGCCGACTTGTTCCTTTATTAATATGAGGCTGACTTCATACAGAAACATTCTTAGGACGATAGAAAAGAAGTTAGCAGTATCCTTTAACTTCACTTTCCACTATATAGATGATGTTCTCTAACTAAATATTTCAAATTTTGGTCACTATGTTGAACACATCTATCCAACATAACTTGAAATAAAGGATACAACAGATACAGTTAAGTCTGCCTCATATCTTGACTTACATATAGAAATTGACAATGGAGGTCAGTTGAAAACAGAACTTTACAACAAAAGAGATTATTTCAGCTTCCCAATTGTGAACTTTCCATTTCTATGTAGCAACATTCAAGCAGCGCCTGCATACAGAGTATATATCTCCCAAATTGATACTATATTCCAGGGCTTGTATTTCCTATCATGATTTTCTTGATAGAGGGTTGCTGCTCACAAGGAAGTTATTAAACCAAGAGTTTCAAGTGTTGAAGTTAAAATCATCCCTTTGTAAATTTTACGGGCACCATCACGAGTTGCTTGACCGTTATGGAATATCCGTTTCACAGATGACAAGAGATATGTTCCAATTGTCGTAACTACAACCCAGTCCCCTTTTCCACTAATGTGAACTACCTAATTAGACTTATCACCAGGTTTGTATTAACATGAGCAACACAACGGATGCCACATGTGGAGCAGGATCTGCTTAACCTTCTGGAGCACCTGAGATCACTGAATTATTGGTGGGGTTTGTGTTGCTCAGTCTTTAATTTTCTATGTTGTGTTTTGTGTACTGTTGTTTGTCTGTTGGTCTTTTTCTTGTTCAGCCATGGTGTTGTCAGTTTATTTTTGACTTATTAGTTTGAATGTCCCTTTGGTATCTTTGGCCTCTCTCTTATCATGATTTTTAAGTCAATAAGAAAGGCCCACACGATATGTATGATTTACATTGAAAGATCCACAAAAAGATAGACCATGCATTATATTACAGTCCTAAAAATATCTTAATAACTTTCTTCATTGTTTTCGAGTCAATACAAAATAGCATCATACTAACCTAGAAATGTCCAAACAAATGCTGGTTCATTTGATACAAGAATAGCAACAGTATCTCCAAGCTTTAATCCCATCTGTAAGGCTATATTGGCAACTCTACATGCTTGTTCATTCATAAACTCATAGGTAAAAATTCTATCTTGAAATATTAGAAATGGCTTTTTAGGATTAGCTTTTGCAGAGATTTCAAAAAGATCAATAAGAAAGTGTCCATTAAGTGCATCTGCCATTGCTTTCTTTCCATATGTTCTTCCTAGTTTCAATATTGGTAAATCATAGCCAATCCATGGGAACAGTGTTTTCCAGGCAGCTAATGAAACTCCTACTACTCCTCCAACTCCTAACAAAGCTGCCTCTTTTCCCGTTGGTGGCATTATCAATCCTTAGCTGTCTATATTTTACCATATAAAGCAATTATATTATCTACAAAAATGAATGGAAATTTTACAGGTATAAACTTAACAAGTTACAAATAAGTAACAAGGACAATATTATTGCAGGAATTGAGTTATTGTTTCCTCGGGACTCTTAAATACATTTTGTACATGTGTAAAAGGGGCAGCTGGTACTTGTCTTGGCTCCCCAAATGTTAAGGGTCATGATTTTATTTGTAAATAACAGATCCAGGAATCTGTGTTTTGGTAAGCGTACTTACTAAGCTAAAGATTTGGGTTAAATTTAATTCTATAATTTTTTTATTTTTTTTTTTGCATTGCTTTGTTATTAATTTTTTATAAATTTGAAAATATTAATATTCAATGTTACCAATTTTACTGCACCAGTAAACTTCAACTTATTTTGATTTTCTTGTTTGTTTTTAAAATTCAACTCTTAGTCAGTTTTGATCACAAATCCTTTCAAGCTGATAAATGTGATTCGGGGAATTTGTAACTTATTTATAGAAACTCTTTGTTTTGAACTGTAAGTAGGCATAAACAATAGGATAATTCCTTACTTCAAACATGATTTACATTCATTCTTCACAATCAATAAACACCAAATTCAACAATTTCATTGGTTGAGAGCACTTTGCTGTATTCTAATATTAATTACGTATGGGTTAGATAATAATACTTGGTCATGTTTTATGAATATATTTAAAGCCTGAGGCATAGTCCAGGTGAGAATGGGTGAGTATGTTCTAAAGTAACTTCACAAATAAATAAATCTGTCGCAAACATTTTAACATCAAATGTCACTAGTTAAGATAATGACATATATTAAATTTGTCTTGACGTGTAAATTGCTAAATTTGTAAAACCATATATTTGTAAAAATCCAATTTCTAAATAAAATGATAAAATGAAAATACGTCCAAATTAGCCTGGTGACATTTTGTACATTTTTGTACCACGGAACAGGACTACCATGACTAATGGAAAAACATTTTTATGACTGTTGTTGTCAAAAAAAGATAACCTAAAATAACTTTATACAGTTATCTTAAAATTGTTTTTCTTGAATGAAACATTTAACACTTAAAATTTACATATCTATTGCTTGAATTTTCAAACACTGATCACATGTGATCTTAAATGGTTTGCATCAATGAGCTTATTATTTTGAATGGTATTATATATGGATCACATGGAGTTACATTTATTCACTGTAATTACCTTCTGCTCATGTGTCACAAATTTTGATGCGATCTTGACCTAACTAGGTTCCTTTTTTTTTTACATTTGTAATGAACTTGAATCAATTGCTTTAAGAGAATCAGTATAATGATGAAATGATAATTCCCCAATTTGATGAAAAAAAATATTGTGGTCAAGCAGATGACAAAAAAAAATATTCTGAATCCAGATTTTCCCCATACCTTATAGTGTTAAATTTTGAAAAAAATAATTTGATTGATATCGTCGAAAAACTTTTAAAAAATGTTCGCGCTTTTGCCGAAATTTTTTTTTGGCTCAGACAAAAAACCATCTTTTCAATTTCAATGTTGACATATATTCTTTTCCTTTTAATAGCTGAATACATATATAACTCATTTCCAGCTAAGGGGTTAAATTGAAGGTCACATGAATACACATTCAGTGAGGTCAAATTATTCACTTGCAAGTGAATAATTCATCAGTGATGTGTCTTAGCTTATTTTGACAAAATTGAACCATGATTGGCTGCTAAAAGCAAATCATTATTTCACTATTTGACTTTCATTAATGATTGAACAATATTTTATTTTTTTTTATATCTCGTAGCTAATGCCCCTTTAACAAACATTCACAGACAGGTGAAGATCAGGGATCTCATTGTTGGACGGAAGGGTTTAAAAAACCATCACATAGTGTAGCAGGGGACAATTTGTTTTTCAGCATTATTATTTTATTCATTTTATCATTTATAAGAAATATCTGATTTAGATGAGACATCTTACCTGTTCTCTGAAGCATAGGGACTCCGTTTGTGGATATATTTTTATTTTAATCATTGTAGTTCTATTTGTTTTACGTATATCCTGTCTATTAAAATGTATAAAATTATCAACGTTGGTTCTTAAATCTATGTGTTTAGGGAGCAACCATTTAACTTCAAGGGGGGGTTATGGAAATTTTTTTAAATTTTTTCGATGCTATCAATCAAATTATTTTTTTCAAAATTTAACACTATAAGGTATGGGGAAAATCTGGATTCAGAATATTTTTTTTTGTCATCTGCTTGACCACAATATTTTTTTTCATCAAATTGGGGATCAGAATATTTTTTTAGGAAAAAACCATAACCACCCCCCTTGAAGTTAAATGGTCGTTCCCTTACTAGCAATGTGTATTTTACTATCCATTATACGTATACTGAAAAAATCCTATATCTGGGACTATTATACTAAGTTAGTATAACAGTCCCAGCCTATATGGATAGTAAAATGCATGTTGCTAGTTGCTAGTTAACATACAAATGGTAGTGTGATGTTAATAATTTATACAAATAGACAGGAAATATGAAAAAAACAAATACAAATTACAAGGATTAAAAAAGAATCCGGGTCCGTTCGCGCCCATTCACGTTCGCACCCCGGGTCCGTTTGCACCCTACACGTTCGCACCCTTTTTATTGATTTTGTCTTAAATAATTTTTCAATCGTGTTTTGGTTATTGTATTGCTATAAATAAGGTTTTTTTTCATTGTTTCAAAACATGCAAAATAAAGTGACATTTTTTGTGTTGAATATCTTTTTAATCGTGTTTTGGTTAGTGTATTGCGTATTGCTATATTTTTTTTTTTCATTGTTTCAAAATAAAGTGACTTTCTAAAAAGGTTTTTTGTGTAGAATATTATTTAAATGTTAAGATACCAAACCGCTTTAAACTCAACAACAATAACATTTTGAATCTTAATTGTTTTTACTCGTACCAAGTTAAATACATGCTTATATAACTACATGCAGAATTTACATCAAGTTTAGCTGTGTAAACACCATATATAATTAACAGTAATCATAAATAATTAATCATCAAATCGATTTAAAACAATATTTCATTTAAAAAATTCAAAAATTGCCGAATTTTTCTTTATTTTGAGATAAACATCTTAAAAAAACATCTTATAATTCATCGGGTTTTTGAATAAAAAAAAGGGTGCGAACGGACCCAGGGGGCGAACGTGTGGGGTGCGAACGTGTAGGGTGCGAACGTGTATTGGGCGCGAACAGACCCGATACCATTAAAAAACATATATATCAGCAAACTGAGTCCCTGTGCTCTGTATTCCATGATACAGTGATATCCTACTGTTAAACATATAATTTGGTACACAATAAAATTATCTGCTTATATTGGAAACTGTACCTTTTGAAAACCTTCTGGAGTGTAAGCCTAAATGTCCTAGTCGATGTCTATATGAGAAACATGTAGACTAATGATATGAACGTGCACTGTACGGCTGTAGGTCTACATTGTGACCTCATGAAATATTTGCGTTGAATTTGTTTACCTAGTCGAACAAAAGGCAGAATTGGTATCTTCGACGTAACAATACAGATAATAGTTTCGGTTACAAATGATATCTAAATCTACTAGATGGATAATTTAGATAATCATATACTAGCTTTTTTTCAATTAAAATCTCTGTTTTAGTGTTTACATTGGCCTATTACGTCCTATATTATGACCTCATCTCATTTTTTACAGTAGGATAGTTACAACTTGTCTCAGTGAGTGTATGTTTAATAACTATATTTGTTTTTGTATCTACGCCTTTGTGCCTTAGCCTCAGATGTTCACCTTTGGGACTTAAAAATTTTGAAAGCACGCCCCTTTTATAGGACCGGAAGTCAATAAATAATTACAAAATTTGTCCTAGCCGGAACAACTTAAATTTCCGTACATTTTCAGATCACTTCGAAAAAATTACAATTAAGAGTTTTAGCAATTCAGTATTTTAAACATCTATATCAGTATCTGCATGATTATTCAACAGAAGTGTCTAACACTTGATTCAGACATGTCAGATGTAAAATCTGTAACTATTATGACATATATTTTGACTTCAAACTTCATTTCAATGTTAAATGTTTTTTCTTCATGGCTGCATTTTCATCTCAAAATTTACTCTGAGTACAGACAAACCTGAGTATCTGGAAAAATTTTAAGGCAAAGCATGCTCTAGATAAACAAAATTCAAATGCATTTTCTCTTTTAGAAAATTCAAAACTTAACTAGATTTTGCAGTGCACTTTTTTCATTCCTCCATTAGGTGATAAAATAAACAAAGTTGGGGAAAGAGGTTTGAGAACTTCCCCACAGGTAATAATTGAAGTGAACTGTATTGATTGACATGGACAACAGAGGGACAATAGATACCTGACAATAATTGATGATTTAAATTGTGTACCTGAGTGGACCATGTCAAGCGAAACTCAGCTGTTAGTTAATTTTATCTTCTTCTGCAGGGACGAAAAAAAGTGCACAGCAAAATCTAGTTAAGTTTAAAATTTACAAAGCATAAAATGAATTGGATTTTATTTATCTAGGGCATGCTATGCCTTAAAACTTTTCCAGATGCACAAGTTAGTATGTGCTCAGAGTAAATTTTGAGGTGAAAACGCAGCCATTTTAGCATCAGGGTCCACATGAACCTTATATGTGTATCTAAAAAAAGTAGAAATGAACTAGAAACAGACAGGTTCACCATTCATGAAGGGACTTGATACTTCTGGTAGTATTCAAACATTTTATTACGTTTTCAGTGTCTAGGAGGTTTTGTTACCTCAAAACAATTACCATACATTGGGCGTATGACATTTGCGCCGATTTTGAAAAATTTCATTCTTTCATTTGCGCCGATTTCATTTTGTCATTTGCGCCGATTTTATATTTGCTCCTAATTGCATTTTCAGTATAACATAGGTGAGTAAATACTGGCCATACATATCGGAAGGTTGGTAAATTGATCGTGAGAAAGGTATGTTTATTCTTTCTACACATCTCAATCTTGAATGTCTTTGCAATGATATGTCTGCAATATTTATAGATGGAACTTTTAAGTGCTGTCCGAAATACTTTTATAAGTTATATACTTTACACGGATGTAAAAATGGAAACTACGTACCTTTAATTTACGCCCTCTTACCAGCGAAAGATGAACAGTGTTATGAAGTGATGGGGTAAATAAATTTGCGATCTCTGCCGTCAAAAACAACTTTCCTTTGTGGCCGAGGTTATGCATATATATACTGACTTTGAACAAGCAATGCATAACGCAATTATTGGTGCTTTTCCACAATGTAGAATATTGTTGTCGTTTTCATCTGTCTCAGAACTGGTGGAGGAAAATCCACTCTGTTGGGCTGAGCACAGAGTATACAGACAAATTAAGTGACATTGGATATATATTATGGCTATCCCAATTGATTGACAATTCATAAAATTTGTACAACTGGTTAACGGAAGAGGTCTATGATGATAAATGAAAAATAACATTCACCTGTAACTTACCTGGAAATTACCTGTAAAAAAATCGGCGCAAATGAAAAAAAAATCAGCGCAAATGAAAGAAAAAATCGGCGCAAATGAAATGCAGATTGGCGCAAATGCAAAACGCCGCATACATTATCATAGTTTTTACAGAAAAAAAAGTTGTGTAGTGATCAGGTCATATTTTGTAAAAGCAAGGATAAAAGAGGTCTATGTATCAGAAAAGATGAAAGAAAGAAAAAAATCTGTTTAAATAAAACAAAAAATTCAAGTCGGGTCTATATTTCACTTGAGAAATCAATGTTTTATAGTCTGCAATAAATAATTTGAATAAATCCTAGGAATTCACGTGAGGCAATCATAATAAAAAATGCAATAACAATGGTTATACCGTTGAGTTGGTCACCAAATTGATGGCATTTGTACAGTATAACAAGGTACAATTGTATATTTCAATACAGGAAATTTCACCGATTTAAATATTTTTAAAATGTGTTTCTTTCAACCGAATGCAATTTTCTGGGAGGGGGATATGCTCTAAATATTCCTTAAAATATGCTATGCCACCTTTTGAAAGTTCGTTTTCAAGTTGCAACCATATGGAAATCTTGTATGACTTAGGTAGACAGAAGACGTGCCCCTTTTTGAAATATTGCAAGAATTTGCTTCAAAAACAAAAAATTCTCCATTTTAGGATACCACTGAGAATTTTTTTTTATAAGACTGGGAATAACATTTACTCTATACGCCACCCTACAATCATGCAGTTTCAAAGCGATATTGTTATTTTTTTATCAAACCAATAAGCAGTCATATAAAAAGAGGATAAAACAAGAATGTGTCCATAGTAAACGGATGCCCCACTCGCACTATCATTTTCTATGTTCAGTGGACCGTGAAATTGGGGTCAAACTCTAATTTGGCATTAAAATTAGAAAGATCATATCATAGGAACATGTGTACTAAGTTTCAAGTTGATTTGACTTCAACATCACCAAAAACAACTTTGACCAAAAACTTTAACCTGAAGCGGGACAGACGGACGAACGGACGCACAGACCGAAAAACATAATGCCCCTCTACTATCGTAGGTGGGGCATAAAAACATAAAAAAAAAATAGAAAAAATAATTAGCCATTCATTAACAGGTAAACTTTAGGATATATGAAATATTGAAAAACAAATCTGTCTTAGATTCAAGTCTAGTCCTGGAATTGCTGGCTGAAGAAAAATGATACGAATTCATATGACTTTTAAATTAATATAGTCTATGTTTTGGTTGTGCAAAAAAAAATATTCTAACAAGTAACCAAAACTTAAAATTTCGATTTTCAATACTTCAAACAAAAATAAACTCATGACCAGACAAAAACATTAAAATAACGAAGAATATAATAAACTTTGTAACACATGCATGTAACAGAAATGCAGCCATCTCACATGATAAAACTGATCAGTATAGAGAATATTTACAACATCTCAGAACAGACAAGAGATCATATTGGTAGATCGGTATCACAAACTACAAAATCACTATATTTATAAATGTATATAGAAGTGTTTCTTTATCATGTTTATAGCAGTCACGTTTTTGTGATGAGTTTTAATACAAACTTCAAATAAAGTATATATAACAGTATTAAGATAAGTCAGAAAGCAAATAGTTGTGCAAAGCAATACACACGAACAATGATTTACCTGTTAAATATGGATTCTATAAAACCTGTGTCATAAAGTTGAAATCTAAGAGAGCTTCGTACAAAGGTATACATGTGTATAATACTGTTATCAAACATGATAATTAGGTTCAAAGTTCACAAAGTACGGACGATAATGTTTAGTAAACACGAGGGAATGACTTAAAATGATATCAATTATTTTAAAAAGGACTATGAAATATGCCAAAAAGTCATAAACGTTCGCCAATTATAACACGGAAAACTCTATATTGGATTCTTAGTGTAACTATTGTGTGTTATTTATTTCATCTATCTGTTGATGTCCAGAATTTGTCCAGATTTGTTGAAGCGGATCCCAATGATGTTTTCTACCTTCTAAAAGATCCAGTCAATCTTCTCATTCTGCACCCTAAAGTGTAAGTATTTCATTAAAGATTTAATCATGACAAGATTAGCGGAAAGCTGAAGAAAGTTAACAGAGCCTACCTTTTTGACACCCTCTTCTTAACTATACCTAAGTAGTTCTAAGTTTTTAAATTGACAACGACCTTACTTCCTTATTGATAACCTCTCAAATGATCCTAGCTTGGGAAAATTCAATGGGGTCATATGTATTCTTAGTTTTAAACTCCATAATGATGATTGGGCTTCAAGATTTTTTCAAGGGAATAATACCCCTCCCCCCTTTTATCATATACAGATAATTATCAATGAAACCCGTAGGACCAGACAACCGAGTGGATAAACTCCCTTTTTTCCCGAAGACTGCGATGTGGCGTTAATACTAGTAATTAATCGCCCACTTTATTAAGATTTCTACTCAGGACCGGGCTGCTACCCATCTCTCTCTGATCTACAAAGACAATTCGTAGATTTGAATTCGGAGTGTACTGGACTGTCTGGTTGACATTTTAAACTTCCCTCTTCATTCTTGTTCTTATTAGTTGTTCAACGCACGGGCGAGGGATCGAGTGTTTATTCTATTCCAATCTATTAAATATATATATCTCTGATTTCGTTATTCTCATAATGACGAGCACGCGAGTTAATATAGATATGAATTTTAATTACATTGATTCTATACAGTTAATCGATCCAATGAAGTAAAACTAACCACGTAGAACTGTGTACACAACATCGTACATGTATTAAGAAAGTATTGTCAAGCCCACGAGTTGAAAATAAAAAAAGTAAGAACTATATATGTATATTTCTGAATTCCAAATTCCAAGGAACTAATCGGGTTTACACCCCATCTACAAAGTATCCGATAAAGGTTAAAATCCGTATAGTTAAAAATTCGTTTATGAAATACAAGAAACTCTTTTTTTGAATTCATGGGACCATTGACTGCTTAATTGGTTGTCAAACTCTCTTTCATCGAAAATGATACTTACAAATGTAATCCGAGTTATTTTGAAAATTAAAAAAAAAAAAAAAAAGTTTGGAAAAGATAATATGGCAGCAAAAAGTTTCAAACTAATTCATAATATCACACTTCTTTATCACGACGATTTCAGGTTAAAGGGGCATTAGCTGTCAAATTCATGTTCACAGATTTGACTCAAATTCTCATATTTGATTTATAACATACTAAAACGTATATCCAAGTTATAAAAGTCTAAAATAAACAATTTACAATGCATAGGCTCGATAATATGTACCCGCATTTCGTGTGTATTTTAGTCTAGACGCCATCTAATTAACCATCGAGGTGACCTCCGAAGACTGCCGACGGTCAAATGACCCGATATAAACATAGATATAGATACAAATAGATAGCGAACTCGTACAATTGGATTTTTCTAGGTCTGTTTGATTTCATATTATAGGTTACAAATATATGTTAATCATCGTGTTTACCTGTATAAGAATGAGTTTTTGTGGATCGAATCAGTCAATCAAATGGATTACCCTTGTTTCACTTTCAATGTTGACATTCTTTTCCTGTCTAATAACTGAACACACCTAATTCATGCGTAACCCAACTCTATTTAAGGGGTTAAATTGAAGGTCACATGAATACGGATTCAATGACGTCAGCTATGTTTCTTTGCTTATTTTGACAAAATTGACCCAAACTGGCTGCTAAAAGCGAATTATTATTTCACTATTCCACTTTCAGTAAAGATTGAAGAAAAAAAATCAAATTTTAATTTTTTTATATCTCGTAGCTAATGCCCCTGTTATCTGTTTATCCATCTTATTTCCTAGTTTAACTGTCGATTTCACATTAACTTGCTATAATATCTGTTTATCTAATCTTATTTCCTAGTTTAATTGTCGATTTCACATTAACTTGCTATAATATCTGTTTATCCATCTTATTTCCTAGTTTAACTGTCGATTTCACATTAACTTGCTATAGTATCTGTTTCTCCATCTTATTTCCTAGTTTAACTGTCGATTTCACATTAACTTGCTATAGTATCTGTTTATCCATCTTATTTCCTAGTTTAACTGTCGATTTCACATTAACTTGCTATAGTATATGTTTATCCATCTTATTTCCTAGTTTAACTGTCGATTTCACATTAACTTGCTATAGTATCTGTTTATCCATCTTATTTCCTAGTTTAACTGTCGATTTCACATTAACTTGCTTTAGTATCTGTTTATCTATCTTATTTCTTAGTTTAACTGTCGATTTCACATTAACTTGCTATAGTATCTGTTTATCCATCTTATTTCTTAGTTTAACTGTCGATTTCACATTAACTTGCTATAATATCTGTTTATCCATCTTATTTCTTAGTTTAACTGTCGATTTCACATTAACTTGCTATAGTATCTGTTTATCCATCTTATTTCTTAGTTTAACTGTCGATTTCACATTAACTTGCTATAGTATCTGTTTATACATCTTATTTCCTAGTTTAACTGTCGATTTCACATTAACTTGCTATAGTATCTGTTTATCTATCTTATTTCTTAGTTTAACTGTCGATTTCACATTAACTTGCTATAGTATCTGTTTATACATCTTATTTCCTAGTTTAACTGTCGATTTCACATTAACTTGCTATAGTATCTGTTTATCTATCTTATTTCCTAGTTTAACTGTCGATTTCACATTAACTTGCTATAGTATCTGTTTATACATCTTATTTCTTAGTTTAACTGTCGATTTCACATTAACTTGCTATAGTATCTGTTTATCCATCTTATTTCCTAGTTTAACTGTCGATTTCACATTAACTTGCTATAGTATCTGTTTATCTATCTTATTTCCTAGTTTAACTGTCGATTTCACATTAACTTGCTATAGTATCTGTTTATCCATCTTATTTCCTAGTTTAACTGTCGATTTCACATTGACTTGCTATAGTATCTGTTTATCCATCTTATTTCTTAGTTTAACTGTCGATTTCACATTAACTTGCTATAGTATCTGTTTATCCATCTTATTTCCTAGTTTAACTGTCGATTTCACATTAACTTGCTATAGTATCTGTTTATCCGTCTTATTTCCTAGTTTAACTGTCGATTTCACATTAACTTGCTATAGTATCTGTTTATCCATCTTATTTCCTAGTTTAACTGTCGATTTCACATTAACTTGCTATAGTATCTGTTTATCCATCTTATTTCCTAGTTTAACTGTCGATTTCACATTAACTTGCTATAGTATCTGTTTATCCATCTTATTTCTTAGTTTAACTGTCGATTTCACATTAACTTGCTATAGTATCTGTTTATACATCTTATTTCCTAGTTTAACTGTCGATTTCACATTAACTTGCTATAGTATCTGTTTATCCATCTTATTTCCTAGTTTAACTGTCGATTTCACATTAACTTGCTATAGTATCTGTTTATCCATCTTATTTCCTAGTTTAACTGTCGATTTCACATTAACTTGCTATAGTATCTGTTTATCCATCTTATTTCTTAGTTTAACTGTTTATTTTAATCCCAATGAAAACAAAGTAAAACAGGAGGAGGTGCGGTGTGTCAGAGAAATTTCGGAATCGATTGTTATCATTCTTAAAGGTGTTAATTTGATATGGAGTTATTTTACTCTATTAATTTTTCATCTTGGAACTATTGAAGGAAGCATCTTCGTAAATTCAGAACGATTTAAAAAAAAACTCAAATAAAGAGGTAGTTGTTTTGTTCGATCCAAATCAGATTTCTAAGAAGTGTGTCTGAATAAAATGTATTACGAATATACAATTTAAAGAGAAATTAATTCAGTGCTTTCGTTTGGTAATAGCAAATTTCCTGTTGTTTAAATGTAGTTCACTGTACTTTTCTAGAGTTGAAATACAAATAATAGACAGACATTCCCAGATGACTCTGGACTTTGCCGAGTTTTACATGACAGAACAGTTATCCTACGGAAATTCGACAACACTAGTTAATATGGTGGCAAATCCCGTGGACAGATCAGTGTCACTCAAAGTCAATACATTCCTGAATCTATTACACAGTGAGTAATCAATTTAGTGTTGAATCTAGTAGACATGTTGTAACTCAGGTTCAACACATTTCTAAATCTATTACACATTAAGTATAATATAACTGTAGAATATGTTGAACAATAAGTAAAGAAGATTTCTGAGCTGCTCCTGATTGCTCAGTCGTTCCTGAATCCATTAAACAACAAGTGTAGATGATTACTAAGCTATTTTTGAATCTATTAAACGTGAGTATAGAAGATAACTAAGTAGTTCTTGAATCAATTAAATAGTAAGTATAGAGGATTATTTCGTCGTTCCTGATCCATTAAACAGTAAGTATAGAGGATTGCTTAGTCGTTCCTTAACCCATTAAACAGTAAGTATAGAGGATTGCTTAGTCGTTCCTTAACCCATTAAACAGTAAGTATAAATGATTGCTTAGTCGCTCCCGAATCCATGTAACAGTAAGTATAGAGGATTGCTCAGTCGTTCCTTAATCCATTAAACCGTATGTATAGATGATTACTTAGTCGTTCATGAATCCATTAAACAGTAAGTATAGAGGATTGCTCAGTCGTTTCAGACTCAATTAAACAGTAAGTATAGAGGATTGCTCAGTCGTTCGTGAATCTATTAAACAGTTAGTATGGAGGATTGCTCAGTCGTTCCTTAATCCATTAAACAGTATGTATAGAGGATTGCTTAGTCGTTCCTTAATCCATTAAACAGTAAGTATAGATGATTACTTAGTCGTTCATGAATCCATTAAACAGTAAGTATAGAGGATTGCTTAGTCGTTCCTTAATCCATTAAGCAGTATGTATAGAGGATTGCTCAGTCGTTGCTTAATCCATTAAACAGTAAGTATAGAGGATTACTTAGTCGTTCATGAATCCATTAAACAGTAAGTATAGAGGATTGCTCAGTCGTTCCTTACTCCATTAAACAGTAAGTATAGAGGATTACTTAGTCGTTCATGAATCCATTAAACAGTAAGTATAGCGGATTACTTAGTCGTTCATGAATCCATAAAATAGTAAGTATAGAGGATTGCTCAGTCGTTGCTGAATCCATTAAACAGTTAGTATAGAGGTTTGCTTAGTCGTTCATAAATCCATTAAACAGTAAGTATAGAGGATTACTTAGTCGTTCATGAATCCATTAAACAGTGTGTATAGAGGATTGCTCAGTCGTTCCTTAATCCATTAAACAGTGTGTATAGAGGATTGCTCAGTCGTTCGGCTCACACCGAACAGCAAGCTATAAAGGGCCCCAAAATGACGAGTGTAAAATAATTCAAACAGGAAATCCAACGGTCTAATCTATATAAAAAACGAGAAACGAGAAACACCTATGAATCACATCAACAAACGACAACCACTGAACAACAGGCGCCTGACTTAGAACGAAGTGCATAAAAATGCAGCGGGTTTAAACGTTTTAACAGGCGCCAACCTTCACCCTAACCTGAGACAGTAGTGTAACATTACAAACATGTTTGTGAGCGCCCAACCTTCCCCCATCACCTGGGACAGTGGTGTAACAGCACAACATAAGAACAAACTATAAAAATCATTTGAAAAAGGCTTAACTCATCAGATCGATACAAAGAAAAACAAAAACACAAACAGGACGTGGCAGGGTATATATCTATCCCTCATCCCTAACAACAAAAAGACACTAAGTACAGATCTGAGAGTACTCGCAGTTACTGACAGCTAGTTTGAGCCGGTTAGAATCTGTTTATAACACATATAATTAGTATAGATATTTCACTAACGGCCTAGCAATTCTAATTTGATTTTAATTTGTTAGTAAGTACTTAAATACACCTCAAAAATTGTCATTTTTTACTCATACAATGAAATCCTTTACGTCAAAAACATAATCTAGTATTTAGATATGTTTTTACAAAGTACTTTACAGCAATAAACATTGTTGTGGTTTTAATTTATTTTAAACTCAGCCTTTAATACAAGCGGGGCATTTTATTTTCAGGTCTGTGAGTCCGTTCGTTTTAATTTAAAGGTTTTGTTTGATGTAGTTTACCATGAAGTTGCTGTGAAACTTAGTACACATGTGCATATTGTTGTGAATTTTTAAAATTTTAGCCAAATAAGGGTTTGGATCCAAATTTACTGTCAAACTAGACGTTAGAGCAATAAATTGTTGCAGTGTAGGACATTTGCAACCCCTAACCGACCAGCCGGACCAAGGTTTCGTTTTGAACATGGGAATGTGTTGGTGTTATCAGATTGAAGTTTTTGTAAAGGTAGTTTACTATCCCTTCCACTCCCATTTCGATGTAAGTAAAACAAAACTCAACACATAAGTAAAGCATTTTTAATTAATTAAAAATTTACCCATTAAGTTATGGTCATATGAACTTGAAACTAAGGTCACGTGTTCATTATTAATACAACGAACTTTTACGAATATAGGCCAAAGGGTTTTGAACTGGAATTCTTAGTCTGAGTCAGATCACTGTACATGACAAATTAAAGCGTTAGTGCGAGCTGGACATGGTGTCATATTGACAGATATTCTTGTTAGTTTCTTTGACACGAAATTCCCACTTACACATACTAAATATGTACATTTTTTTACCTACAACCTAGCAATAATAAATATATGACTCATATATTGTTTTTATTTTTAGTTTCTTTGGATTGGAAACTCCACAGCAAAAACAAAGGTACAAAGACATACACTCATATAGAGGAAGAAATTCGTGTCAAATGTCCTATGTTATTCAAATACGTCATTGGAGATCTGCTGTATGAGTATAATCAGATTCTCATGGACAGGATTCAATTAAGATACTCATCTGAACCTAGTATTGCTCTCATGTGATCTACCATAATCTGTGATATTTTATTAATTTTGTAATAAATGAAACAAATAAAATGTTATGTTTGTGGCTATTTCAATCAGCATAGAAGACAGAATGCAGTGGCGGATCCAGAACTTTTTTTAATTGGGGGCCCACTGACTGCCATAGGAGGGGGCCCGCTACAGTCATGCTTCAGTGATTCCCTATATAATCAACTAAATTTTTCACAGGAAAGGCCCCCCTGGATCCGCCTATGGATTGGCTTCATTGTTTTGTTTGGTTACTAAATAAATGTAGGGTTCAAGGCCGGATTCTGAACAGAAGTATTAAGGTCTGGGACTATTATAATAGAGATAACAATTTGTGCTCATTTTCTGATATAATTCTTACAATTGATAATTTGATATTTTTATTCTGATTTATAACATTTCATGTATATTTCAGATATAGACCATGTTTTTTTTTTAAGTATTTTTTTTCTTTTTGAAATGGAATTAAAAAAGCACCTAAAAACAATTTTTGTTGAGTGGGCACTATGCTTACTTAACAATCAGTCTATAAAGGGTCACGGCAGTAGGTAGAAAGATGCAAACAAAATATGTCAAGTTATTATAACAAAAATGTTGATGACACAGCAATACAAAAACACAGCATCCATTTGACAAATATATTGTGTACTTCACACTTATATGAATATTTATGTATTTAACTTTTATGTTGATAATGTGTACTCGATGAGCAACACGACAGGTGCCAGATTTGGACCAGTTTACCCCCGATTGTTGGTGGGAATTATTTTGCTCAGTCTTTAGTTCTATGTAGTGTTTTATGAATTGTTGGTCTTTTCGTTGTTAGTTTTTATTCAACTGATGAGTTTTGAATGTTCCCTTGGTATTATCCGCCTCTTTTTGTGTACTTGAGAGAGTGCCACACTCTCTGCACATTGAAGATCTCCTTTGAGGGATCAATATGTGGCCTGTTTCAAGGCAAAAATTCGGCCCCCTTTTCAACATGCCCTTATTTTCCTGTGGTAGTGGAAACTCTGACCCTTCATCATAGTCAACCTACCTTGCAGAACCTACTAATTGCAAAAGTTTTTTCTCATCCTGAATATACATGAAATAGTTGCCACTAGATTGATTGATTGGTGTTTAAGGCAACCTTCAGTACTATTGTGCTATTTCATGGGGGTCAGTTTACATTAATTGATGAAGCCGGAGTGCCCAGAGAAAACCACTGACCTTCGGTAGGAAAACTGACAATCCTAGTCAATTAAGATTGGAGTTGAGCGCACAACATTTACAACAGTGTTCACAGGCTAGTGATACAGCAGTTCCACTACTTCGACCACTCGGCCACTAAGGCTCCCTGGTTGCCACTGGACATTAAGGAAACAACAATTAAGTAACTGATATATTTTATAACAATCTGCCCTAAAACTGTGTAGACCTTTACTGATGTGTTCTCTTTATCAAAGTAGCAATCCTTCAAACCTTGTTTGTGACATCATAAAATTTAACTGAAAGAACTAATGCCATATGGATTGCAGGTACAGCTTGAAGAGTCAGAATATTGTCAGTTTTCATCAAACCCATTTTATAACTGTCCTATTGGTATTTCCTTTGTTCTGCAGCATGACCAAAATGTTAACCATGTTCATTAAAGCATGACATGTAACTTTAACCTTCTTTTAAAGCACACCTTGAATGTTGTACCTATGTTAATGTAATAAAGATTGAATTATACATACCTTCTATGTGCACAAAAAGTACAAAGATAAATAAAATAATCAATTTATTTGCAAAGTTCTTATAATTGTAAATTGTTGAATACACATATAAATGAACACTTCACATTTCTTAAATAAAATGGGCATATTAACACAATCTAGTGATAATTTTAAATCTATCTAGTATAATTTTCCACCAGCAGCTCATATAACATTTCTAAATTTATATATCTAAAAGTGACAATTCTGTTTGTATATAACACTTTTATAAGTTATTTTCTGCTTATTGCGAACCCAATGATATTTTTTCACAGATTCACCTGTCGATTTAAACTTTAGTAAGTTGTTTTGTCCCATCTAATAAATACAATAGTTATTGTTCTCTGTGTAGTTTATTTGACGGGACCTTTAAATTTCTTCCAAGAGAAATCTATCACTCACTGATTAATTTACCTGAACAAAAAATTGAACTGTCAATAATGAAAATACATGTACAAATACTAAATAAGGACTCAAAAAACTGCATGTGGTGTTGTATTTATTCAATATCAATAATTCATTTTTGATTCAAAAAATTAAAAGTTGATTTCTGAACAAATTTTTAATATTTTCCCTATCAAAATTTGCTTTTTTTTGTGTGTTTGACAAATAAAAACTTGAAAATTATTGTATTTAAATTAAGGTCTTGATAAATCTATTCTATAACTGAACAAAATCAAAAACATGCAAATACAATGGAACAATACTAAAAATTTTGTCAGAAATAAACTTTTTATAATTAAATCATTGTTTATATTGAACAGATTGAAAATATATTATTGATATTGATTAAATACAATATTGCATGCAGTTTATGCGAGTTTATACAACTATTTCCCCGAAAAAAGAAGATAATTTTTTGGTCAGGTAAATTAATCAATGAGTGATAGATTTCTCCTAGAAGAAATTTAAAGGTCCCAGTCAAAAAACTACACAGAGAACAATATCTATTGTATTTATTCAATAGGACAAGAGAATAGACAAAAGTTTAAATACCCTGGTCAAGAGCAGACGACTCTGTGGAAAACTTTCATTTGGTTCGCAATAAATATGATAACTGTTTGTTTCAAATTTCTTATACACTTTAAGCAGAAGTGGTATAATTTGCAAAATTTATTTCTGACTTATCTTTTTATTTTGATATTAATGGTATTTTGTCTTGGAAGATATTGCAGAACAATACTAATAAAATCCGTCATTTTTTTGTGTAAAAGGAGGGGGGAATAACTTTCATACCTAGATCAAAGAATAAAATACATTAAATGTCCAAGGTTTTTTTCTGTTGATATTTAAAACTGAGTAGAAGAGATGATAAAAAAATTGATAGTCAGTGACCGTTTTTTTTTTCCAATCTCAAGTGTGAGTTATGTACATACAACCTCCATTTATACACTCAATAGCAGTGCTCATTATATAACGTGCACACTTTACAAGCTTTATTAAATATGACAAAATGTCCACGCAAAAAGGTGCATGATTTTCTACTTAAAAAACTATATTAGACTATATTGCATACACCTTGTCCGTCAGTTCGTCCAACAAATATTTCAGTCACACTTTTCTCAGGTACTACTTCAAAGAATGACTTTATAATCAGTCAGCAGCTTGACAGTGATGAGTTGTATTGTGTGAGTACTTTCCAGATCAGACACAAACTTTTTGTTTATTTTGTTCTTTCTTTAACAAGTATATGATTAAATGACACGACTTAACCAACATTCAAACTTTTCTATATGATAGTTAGGTTGTTTAAAACAAAACAAACTAGACATGCTCACTTAATGAATGTATGTTTGATTTCTCTTTTATTTACATATTTTCTATAGCTACATAATTATAAAACACATTTAATCTTAATCTACATACAAGTGTTAGCTACACAAAACAAATTCTGCAAGTTATGAAATTATATTGTTTAAAATGGGAATATTTTTTATTATAAGATTTGAGATCTAAATGTTAGTGCTTTTAATTCAAAAGAGAAAAGAAAGTAAAGCCACTATTACTAAACTGGTTTTATACTTTCTTGCCCTGATCTAAAACAGCTAGTTTTTGTTAGATGCCCATTAATTCAGTAGAGTATTATAAAGAATAGCTATATATGGTAGGACTCATTTTAGCAAAAATCCTTAAAATGATTGATTAGTCTAATATGTTTTTGTTTTCTTACCCCAAGTATGAAATATAAAATAAATCCATTTATAATCAATTCATAATAATGTTATGAAGTAAATTAACAAAAGGCATGTTATGCATTAAATTGTTTCTGACATCTTTTTTGTTTTGTTTCATTTTTGTTGTTTTCTTCTTTGGTGGGGGGCTATTAATTTGAATATGTGATGCTAATTTGGTTTGAAATGAATATTGAAGTAAGAAGAGATGAAGCAGTTAAAATTAGCTTCCATATAGAAGAAAAGGAAGTTAAAAGCAAGCATCCAACAAACAGAAAATAAAGGTCCTTCATGAAACCCCTGTTCAGTTTTCTTGATCAATACCTTTAGAAACTTGATACAAGATATACCTAATTATGTTATCACACATTTACTTATACATCACAAGGAATCACATGTTATTTTGACATACAGTAAAAACTTTTCATGCACTGCAGAGGGGCAGTAGGAGGGGGTGTCATCCCCAATTCCCCAAAAAATAAAGCATTCTTTTCTGGATCATTAATTCTAGAGTCCCAATAAGGGTTTAATCCTGAATTCCCAGCTAAAATAAAGGCCCAATCCCGAATTCCCGCAAAAATAAAGGCCTAATCCTGATGTCCTGAAAAAGGTTCTTTCGCCCCTCACTGCAGTTCCTTGACAATAGAATTACACCAATATTATTCAGAACAAAGTCAATAGCACTATAGGAACAGTAAACATAAACAAAATCTCTATAAATAATGTACAAATAATTCTTAACATCACAATCTCTTACAGTCAGACTTAAAATGGTCTATTACATTCAAATCCATAAAATATGCAAATTTTAAACATGTTTAACCTAGTCCCAACAAGATACAAAATCTTCTAAAAAAAAAAAAATGTAAAGGAATGCTTAATTTTACAAAAACAACTAAACTAAAATTGTAGAATATCTTTAGTATATCTCTTGTCCCATTTGCATGCCTAAAAATTCTTAAAATGAGTTGCTATTTCACAGAAATGGTTTTGGATATAATTTCTTGATCATACTGGTGAATTTTCAAGATAGGTTGTTATTATTACTTTTTTCTTGGAAAAAAAGAAGTGTTTTACACCTTATACTCATCTAACTTGATTCACACCTGATTCTCATTATTCATTTGGCACACTTTAATGTGCAATTATGATAATATGGTGATATTTTGGCTTTTAATTAACTCTATATCTAAAGCTATAAATTCAATGCAGCCTATAAGAACATAGTGAAATTCTAATCACAGTGTTTTGTGCAAAATTTTTAAAATTTACTACTTTGAAAGATTTCATCGGAAAAATGTGCTGGTTAATGCTGACAAAATATTACTATCAGTAAAGTACTCTGAATTCAGAAATTATTGCGAGGTTTTTATTAATGCGAATAATGAGACTGGATGAGTATCACAATAATAAGAACTTGTATTCTGATATCTGATAAATAAATCTGTATGCAGCTTTTCTGGCAATTGCAATAATTAATCACACATTATTGTTCATTCTTCAAAAATTGCAATTATAAATGTACGTAATAATTTCTGAATTTACAGTTATCTATATTGTTTAAGGTCACCCATTCTGTATCATACAATGGTATTATGTAAGGTAAATCTAATGGATGATCACAAATTTTATATCACAAATTCTCTAAGAAATATCATAAATAAGGGAGATACTGCATGAAATAGTCTCAGAAGTAATAAAATATATAGTTAAAAGAGTCGGACTCTCTTATGCTTTCCTCTTCTGGACTTAAATATGACAAAATTTCTCGTAAAAGGAAATATGCAAATATAGATATAATTATCTAGTGACATCAGATGGGTTACTGTTACAGTACAAACTAACAAATCCTTGCGTTTTGGTCCATTATTATACCCTCTGTGGTTAAACTCATAAAATGTGAACAACAATATATAAATACTATTAACATAGTGTTTTAGGAGAACTAAATTAATGCAAAATCTCATGATCTGATCATATTTTTTCAACTAGTTTATTAGGAGTAACATATATAAGTATTACAATATTTCTTATTCAGGAAATATAAGCTTTTTCATCTTTCCAAAATGTACCCACAATTTACAGCTCATGCCCATAATAAATGAGACGGTTTCTTCTATGAACTAATTGAAAAACTAAATTATAAAAAAAGTTTATCATTGTTTTTTGTTCACAATAGTTCACGACCTGCATGAGTGACCTTTGCACTTCCCATCATCTTGGTAACTATCATGCTATGGCTTTTGCTTCTGGTAAAAAGGCTTCCCAACATTTGATTAACTGTAAAATAAATATAAAGCAAAATAGAAGCTATTGTTATTTAATGAAAAAAATTTATGAAGTTAACAACATACTCATAACTGTTAACTGATCTAATTTTCACGGTCACATCCAGAAATTTAAGAGCTCACCTGAGATTTTTCAATCCTGACTCACTTTCCAGGGTCATCAAATGACCCACTTTCACCAGTATTCTAGTGCTATGAAACTTCCAATGTCTAAAATGTTACGTTTTTCTCTGAAAACTGACAAATTCGATATTTTTCTTGGACAGAAAATTAAATAATTTGCTCTCCATTGAATGATTTACAGCTATCAAAACATAATTTTGACACTCTTTTGATTGACATTTATCCTACGTCTTCTTTTTTCATATTTCAAAAAGGAAACTGTGAACAAATTGACTCTATCAAATATAAGATTGATACAATTATCAATTCATACTTGAAAATGTCTTGTATGAATCTCAAAACTTTTCAGGAGTTAGAGGGCTGAGCATTCAGTATCAATGTGTACCTAATTTGTACAGGTACTATTTACTATCTGATCTGTAAATGTCTCATTTCACAAGTCTTCAGAGAAATAAAATTCCAAGTGATGAACATTTGTGTATAACTTGAGATAAATTTTCATTGTAAGATTTTATTTGATTCGACAGTTACCTTTTGTTGATTTTCCATAAGCTGCTCTAGATATCTGACTACAGTTGTTTTAAAGTCTTCCACTCTGTGCCTATCAAATCTTCCCATTTCTTTCCTTATAGTCTGTGAAATCTTTTCAAAATCTTCCTTTCCTTTCTCAACCTTTTCTGACCACTAAAAATAACACAACATGTTAGTAAGAAAATAAAAAAAATCTTTTAAAAGTAAGACATTTTATAACTACAGTTTTTTTGTTAAACTACAATTATGCACTGATCTACAACATTCCTTTGTGTATGAATTATTCTTTATTTACTGTTGCCTAGTCATCACTGCCACTCACTAACTGTTGCCCAGTCATCACTGCCACTCGTTAACTGTTGCCCAGTCATCACTGCCACTCGCTAACTGTTGCCCAGACATTATTGCCACTTGCTAACCGTTGCCCAGTCATCACTGCCACTCGCTAACTGTTGCCTAGTCATCACTGCCACTTGCTAACTGTTGCCCAGTCATCACTGCCACTCGCTATAAACTGTTGCCCAATCATCACTGCCACTCGCTATAAACTGTTGCCCAATCATCACTGCCACCAACAAACTTTTGTCTAATTATCTTTCCTCCACTGACTGTTGCCTAGTCACCACAACTGCCCATTAAATGTAGCCATGTTATGACAACAATAATTAAAAGTTTATTTCTTTATTTGTGACCAATTTTGATGACCAATGAACAGAGAGGTACCTTACGATATGACCTCCCACAAATTCTAAATTGGTCTCTCATCTCAGTTCTTACCTACTGTGGATTCATTATTTTTCAGGGGGGTACACATTTTCATGTATTTTGTGGATAAATGTGGACCAGGAATTTAAATGTTCAACGAAGTACAAATTTGCTATAGGTTTTTTTTATGCAGACTTTGGCAAAACCACGAAAAATAAATATTCATGAAAAGACAATTTTTCCTCAATCCTCAAAATTGGTACAGTAGACTCCACCTAATCGGATATCGGCTAAACGAATATATCGGCTATTGTAATATTATTTCAAAACACCAAACCCTTCCCTATATGTTTAATGTTAATTTCATCGCGTAATCGAATATCGGATATAAGAATATATCGGCAAATCAGATAAGAATATTCAGGTAATTTTGTTCAAAACCATGCACAATCGGATATTTTCAATGTTTTTCTGACAGGAAATGAAACCGGAAGTTACAAATTAACAATCCTGCAGACAAGAAGATTTCGTTTTTACTAAATAAAAAGGAACTATTTCTTAATAAATTGTTGTCTTTATTCATTGTCTTCCTTTATCATGTGAATTAGATGCCCTTTTACTTCAAATGGTTTGAATTTACAAGACTGGTCAGTTGACAAGAGCAGTACGATGCTGTTTGGAGAATTTTGATAAAACTCTAAATGCTCACACAATCAGAAATATAATGTAAACTGAATGTACCTCCTTCTGAATAATTTATTGCAATATAAATATAAATCCCTTTTGACAAGAGAAATCTGACTTTTGTCAGAAATATTTTTTTCACATGTGCAAAAGTAACCACATGTCATGGCCGCCATTTTGGTTTGTTTACAAATTTGTGAGGAAGCCTCTAGAACCATGACCTAAACATAAATAGTCTTCAGAAAATGTAAACTTTATACAATTATATTTTATCAATCATGATTATTTTCATCAATTTGAATTTGATTATTTAAAGAAATCAAATTATAACAAATACGATTTTAGTTTGGAGATTTACACAAACATGCTTTGATCTATTTATAGCTAAATTAGTTTACCTGTGTGATAATGTAAATAATGGATATTAATTTGTTTTCAAAACAAATAAAGACACAAACTATGGAGGGTAGATAATAATTCACATATATTTTTCAGGACATTTAATTTATTTTAATAAATATAGGATTTAAAAACTGCAAACAAATTTAATCATTATGTAATCAGCTGAAATCTTTTTAAAAAACATCGTGGTGATGTAACTGATAAAAATCACTCTATCAATCCTCCAGCCCTTTCACATATTTAGCAATTGTCAGGGGTAGTAACATCTCAGGATTAGATCTACTCATTATTGCAGAATATTCAATGAATATACATTCATCGTCTAATTGAATATATCGGATAATCGGATATTTTTAGCTGACATTTTGGGTATCCGATTTGCCGGAGTCTACTGTACTAATGAATATAAATGGATCCACTGTATATAATTAAATTTTGCTTTAGGTACTTTTATCAATTCTAATGGCTAATTCTGACTTGGCTTTATTTTCTCTTTTTCGTGTTAATGTTCTTACCTCTGTAATTTCATTCTGTGCCTGCGGTACTTTATCATTTTTACCGGCCAACTCTAACTTGGCTTTATTTTCTCTTTTCTTGGTTAAGGTTGCTTCTGCTTCCTTCCACACTTTGTAAGTTTTAAATCGTTCATGAAAAACTTCCTGTAAATAAATTATGAAATAATGGCCTTTACCGGTATTTGATATCTTAAGACAAACTTTAGTTGTATATGTTTATTTCATCAACAACTTGTCTAGATCCTGGACAATTAAGTGTCTGTTAAGTGAAGTCAGTTCTTTGACCATATGGTGACAAAAAGATGTCTCATTTAGTGAAATAATGTTGTTGGGTTGCTATCTCACTGACTTTTACCCAATTTTTTTATACCTTTATTCTATTTTTTGATATAATTACATTATTTACAGTATATAAATAACTAAATAATTTTACTGTTTTTACAGACTGACTGACCAGGCAACAGATCATTGACTGTTGAATGATTCTGATCTGTTGACCTCCTCATCAGAATACCTTATTTCATTGGTCAGACATGAATTTAGTGTTATGTCAGATGTTTCTTTCATCCCAAATTTGTTCGGCCTTAAGATCTTTTTTTAATTTCCTTTCAATAAAATTTCTTTCAACTTGACAATAATGAAACAATCTATTAATTTCCTTCAACTTGACATTAATGAATTAATCTATAAAGATACATAGTCTTTCAGTAACTCAGCCATCAGGTAGAAATCATGATCAGCCTGATCAGGCACCGTGAAACAGTTAGGTGAGTTAACAGTATGTCAATCTTTATTATACCTACTTTTACTGAACCTAACAAAGAAATATAATCTTTCAGCAACTCAGCCATCAGGTAGAAATCGTGATCAGCTTGGTCATGTTGTATTATTTCTATCCTTTCCTCTGTCTCGGCTAATTGTGATAAGGCTCGTGATAATGCAGTATGCTCCTCAGCATTCCCTAGCATTGCTGCACTCTTGGAAAAGTGCATTGTGGTTAGGCTTAACTCTGTAAAAAATTGAAAATAAGTTGTTCAAATCATTACAGGCATGCATAATTCTAATATAATAATTTTGTATCAATGGTTCTGATTGAATGACAATAAGCTTAAAATTCTCTATCTCCCTGTCTGTAACTAAAATAAGGAAGCCGACATTTTGAATACAGAATGTATTGACATGTAATTTCTCCAGTAATAAGCAAAAATACTCACATTTTACACCTAGAAATCTTCTTTTTATCAAATTTTATTACATTCTGAAGCAGACAAGTAGCCAGAAAACGCCTGGTGATTACGTTTGATGCCGGAAGCATACCTATGACGTCACCAAGTTAAGGCGCCAAAGAAGATAACATCATTTCGCGGATTTTTCGTTTAATGAAAATATACACTATAATAATGACTAAAATTGAGAGGTTTGTTTATTTTGCATTAGAATAGAGATAACTGTATTGTATTTGAAGCTTTGCCGATGTCCATCGGTAGTTTTACTGTCGCAAATATCTGTTTACCTGTCTACGCGTCGCCAGGTAAACTAAATTTGTGACAGTAAAACCACTGATGAACATCCACAAAGCTTCAAATACAATACAGTTATCTCTAAAATGTATAGACATTCTTTGGTTAACAGTGTTGTTGGCACTAACCCTATACATAGTTTTACCATACTGATATCATGAACAAAGAGCTTAGTACCTATAAGGGATGGCCATCGTTTCCTTTGATATCAGTATTTGTGATAATGCAGATAAAAAGTATATGAATTTAAAGACACTCTTAATAAAATATAAAGGAAATTCTTAACTATAAAATTTTGAAAATGATTTTTTGGGTCCAAGCTTTCAATGTCAATGGAGTTTTAAAGTGAGAGAAAAGAGACAAATTGGTCTGTCTTAAAGAATATGATATGAATATGATCAAAATAGTTGGTCAAATATACTTTTATATAAGATTTAAATGATGAATCCACAGTATATATCATAATTTTCTTACCTTTACAATGATGCACTAAAGTCTCCATACTGGAATGTAATTTTCTTACCTTTCCGATGATGCACTAAAGTCTCCATACTGGAATGTAATTTTCTTACCTTTCCCATGATGCACTAAAGTCTCCATACTGGAATGTAATTTTCTTACCTTTCCGATGATGCACTAAAGTCTCCATACTGGAATGTAATTTTCTTACCTTTCCGATGATGCACTAAAGTCTCCATACTGGAATGTAATTTTCTTACCTTTCCCATAATGCACTTAAGTCTCCATACTGGAATATAATTTCTTACCTTTCCCATGATGCACTAAAGTCTCCATACTGGAATGTAATTTTCTTACCTTTCCCATGATGCACTAAAGTCTCCATACTGGAATATAATTTTCTTACCTTTCAGATGATGCACTTAAGTCTCCATACTGGAATGTAATTTTCTTACCTTTCCGATGATGCACTAAAGTCTCCATACTGGAATGTAATTTTCTTACCTTTCCGATGATGCACTAAAGTCTCCATACTGGAATATAATTTTCTTACCTTTCAGATGATAACTAAAGTCTCCATACTGGAATGTAATTTTCTTACCTTTCCGATGATGCACTAAAGTCTCCATACTGGAATGTAATTTTCTTACCTTTCCGATGATGCACTAAAGTTTCCATACTGGAATGTTATTTTCTTACCTTTCAGATGATGCACTTAAGTCTCCATACTGGAATGTTATTTTCTTACCTTTCAGATGATGACCTTAAGTCTCCATACTGGAATGTAATTTTCTTACCTTTCCCATGATGCACTAAAGTCTCCATACTGGAATTTAATTTTCTTACCTTTCCCATGATGCACTAAAGTCTCCATACTGGAATGTAATTTTCTTACCTTTCCCATGATGCACTAAAGTCTCCATACTGGAATGTAATTTTCTTACCTTTCCCATGATGCACTAAAGTCTCCATACTGGAATGTTATTTTCTTACCTTTCCGATGATGCACTAAAGTCTCCATACTGGAATGTAATTTACCTTTCCCATGATGCACTAAAGTCTCCATACTGGAATGTAATTTTCTTACCTTTCCCATGATGCACTAAAGTCTCCATACTGGAATGTAATTTTTTACCTTTCAGATGATAACTAAAGTCTCCATACTGGAATGTAATTTTCATACCTTTCCGATGATGCACTAAAGTCTCCATACTGGAATGTAATTTTCTTACCTTTCCTATGATGCACTAAAGTCTCCATACTGGAATATAATTTTTTTACCTTTCCGATGATGCACTAAAGTCTCCATACTGGAATGTAATTTTCTTACCTTTCCTATGATGCACTAAAGTCTCCATACTGGAATATAATTTTCTTACCTTTCCGATGATGCACTAAAGTCTCCATACTGGAATGTAATTTTCTTACCTTTCCGATGATGCACTAAAGTCTCCATACTGGAATGTAATTTTCTTACCTTTCCGATGATGCACTAAAGTCTCCATACTGGAATGTAATTTTCTTACCTTTCCCATGATGCACTAAAGTCTCCATACTGGAATGTAATTTTCTTACCTTTCCGATGATGCACTAAAGTCTCCATACTGGAATGTAATTTTCTTACCTTTCCGATGATGCACTAAAGTCTCCATACTGGAATGTAATTTTCTTACCTTTCCCATAATGCACTTAAGTCTCCATACTGGAATATAATTTTCTTACCTTTCCCATGATGCACTAAAGTCTCCATACTGGAATGTAATTTTCTTACCTTTCCCATGATGCACTAAAGTCTCCATACTGGAATATAATTTTCTTACCTTTCAGATGATGCACTTAAGTCTCCATACTGGAATGTAATTTTCTTACCTTTCTGATGATGCACTAAAGTCTCCATACTGGAATGTAATTTTCTTACCTTTCCGATGATGCACTAAGGTCTCCATACTGGAATGTAATTTTCTTACCTTTCCGATGATAACTAAAGTCTCCATACTGGAATATAATTTTCTTACCTTTCAGATGATAACTAAAGTCTCCATACTGGAATGTAATTTTCTTACCTTTCCCATGATGCACTAAAGTCTCCATACTGGAATTTAATTTTCTTACCTTTCCGATGATGCACTAAAGTCTCCATACTGGAATGTTATTTTCTTACCTTTCCGATGATGCACTAAAGTCTCCATACTGGAATGTAATTTACCTTTCCCATGATGCACTAAAGTCTCCATACTGGAATGTAATTTTCTTACCTTTCCCATGATGCACTAAAGTCTCCATACTGGAATGTAATTTTTTACCTTTCAGATGATAACTAAAGTCTCCATACTGGAATGTAATTTTCATACCTTTCCGATGATGCACTAAAGTCTCCATACTGTAATGTAATTTTCTTACCTTTCCGATGATGCACTAAAGTCTCCATACTGGAATATAATTTTCTTACCTTTCCGATGATGCACTAAAGTCTCCATACTGGAATGTAATTTTCTTACCTTTCCTATGATGCACTAAAGTCTCCATACTGGAATGTAATTTTCTTACCTTTCCGATGATGCACTAAAGTCTCCATACTGGAATGTAATTTTCTTACCTTTCCGATGATGCACTAAAGTCTCCATACTGGAATGTAATTTTCTTACCTTTCCGATGATGCACTAAAGTCTCCATACTGGAATGTTATTTTCTTACCTTTCCGATGATGCACTAAAGTCTCCATACTGGAATGTAATTTTCTTACCTTTCCGATGATGCACTAAAGTTTCCCATGATGCACTAAAGTCTCCATACTGGAATGTAATTTTCTTACCTTTCCGATGATGCACTAAAGTCACCATACTGGAATATAATTTTCTTACCTTTCCGATGATGCACTAAAGTCTCCATACTAGAATGTAATTTTCTTACCTTTCCGATGATGCACTAAAGTCTCCATACTGGAATGTAATTTTCTTAACTGTACATCTAAGTTTTCTATTTGTTGATGTCTCTCATCAAACCACTATAAAAAAAGTAAACATCTGATGCTTTCAGTATGTATAGATGTTTTTCGTTCAATTTGATAATAGTATTGTTACCAAAATTAGAAAAAAAAAATCCTTTCACATGATAAGAAAGTTAATTTCATGGTGGTGTTTATGGTCTGTTGATTTTACATCAGTACCATGATATCATTATTGATTTATTGAAGATCATGGTAAACACACAGTAGTGACTTTTTCTATATTGAGGCTATATAAATACAAGGAGATGTGGTATGATTGCCAACAAGACACTAAAGGATGTGAATATACGCAACAATAAGGACCCATAAGGCCTTCAATAATGAGTTACCTGAAAAGCATTTGAAAACATAAATTAGTGCAAAATGCTGATTAAGAAACCTGATCTCTATGAAATGACCAAAATTATTTCTGTAAAAAAATGTTTTGACCTAAATCATGTAAATCCCAATCTACCATTTTGCTCATTGACCTTTCACTTAAGGTCATGTTTAGCAAAAATGACCATTTCGGGACCCTTAGCAATGACATTAGTATTCAGTTATAACTAAAGTTCAAACCCAGTTTACAGAAATAAGAATAATAAACATTTACTTATAATAATAACAATATCTTTTAAGTTCTTGTAAATTAAGACAAAATATTTTAGCCATACCAGTATACTAATTTTACTAATGCAGGAACTGTTGCTCAAGTGATAATGAATACACTACCAAATAAATGGGGAACATTAAAAAAAAAAGGAGAAAAATGTTTATTACCAAATAAACAAAAAAAAAAGGTTAGGAAAATACTATAAAAATGTACTAGAATATAAAACTGAAGTTGATTGATGTGATCTGCACAGGTTAATGTAATAGGGAACATAGACCACTCTGACACCAATGCCTTATAAATTGACATTTAACTTTGTGATCAGTTAGTGCCAGAATCGTAGGACTACATTTTAACCCTCTGGATGCAGACTTTACTATATGTTTTATTCTATCATGCACTATAAACCATATGGTCATGGATAATGTACATATATATTTTTACAGACTGTGACAACATATAATGTGCAAACTAGGAAAAAAATAAAACATATGTAGGTTCTACTAAGGGCCCTTATTTGATTATAACTATAACTTCACGGACTATAAACAGACTTACAACCTTCTTCCTGACGTAAAAAAATATAAATATCTGATTACCAACAAATACCTGCTTAACCTTTTCTTAACTTTTTGTCAATACAAAGACTAGTTTTAAAAATATTAACATGATTAACAAAAAATTACCAAATGAATACAAAGAAAACACAATGGGAGTGCAATCACTAAAATGTCTCGCCTGCTTTACTGATTATGTTTGAATTTCATATTATATTAAAAGTCTATAAGATCAAAGCCTTACTACAGGTATAACAGAAACTTTACTTTAACAATAATCCATGAAATTAAGGTCAAGGTCAGATGAACATGTACAACTTACAATCATTCTATACACCCAATATAGTTGACCTATTACTTATACTTATTGTACCTGAGAAACAGGCTTTGTGGTTTCAAGAGAACATTTTTTTTTTAAATTTAGATGACAAGCTACCAAATAAGTATTCATGCAAAGTGATGGCATAAGCTAACATGGTCCTTAGGGCAAGGTGAGCTAAAACTAGGTTTTTAAAGTGGACATTGATCCATGAAAAAGGATGTCAAGGACAACAGACATGTATTATCTAGCTCTTCTACCGTCTGAAATATGACACTTCATACAAGGAGCTAACACCCCTGGGATTGCAAGATAAGTATCACTGTGTTTCCATTCTGTGACAGGCGAGACAAAAAACTACTTAATTCTATATAAAAAAGAGTGTTGACTATAATTGCAACATAAGTAATGGTTACAGCAAACACATAAAACAACAGGTATGTTTACCTCCATGTCCTTATCCCACTGGTCATCCATGGGCAGAAATGGACAGAAATATGTCTTAGACAAATACGTTAGCATATTCATCATCTACAGAATGGACAGAAGTATGTCATGGGAAAAATTTTATCTCTTTTTTCCTAAACTTTGGAATAAGAATGTTTTTTCTTGTAAGTGTAGATTGAGATCATGATGACGTCATATGCCAACATCGTTGAAGATGCCTAAGGAAAACAGCTATAAACAGATAATCTATGGTCTCTCAATTAAAGGACGTTTCTCTGCTACATCTCATTTCAAGCCCATCGCTATTTGATAAGACTGTAGAAACTCCCTCTAATTTTTAGAACCATAGATAATCTATAATAAGCATATACAATTATGAAGAATGGACACAATATCAAAATAAGGAGATGTGGTTTGATTGCCAATAAGACAACTATCCACTAAAGTTCAAATGAAGTGGATTTAAACAAGTATGTTTGAGGGCATTTTTTTTTTTAAATTCAATATATGAAAACTGAACACTTTTTATGTCTCTAGAAAATATTTGCATGTAATATGTATATAAACATATAATTTATCTAGGTGAGATTTCTGAAGTTAACTTGTTGATAACTTCATTTCAATAAATGAATTTGAACATTAATACCAGTAAATGTTGGGTATATATGGCAATTAGACAGCAACATAATAAAAACCAATAAAATGCTTAGCTGAGCGCAGCCTGATACGACCACAGAGGTTGAACCCTGAACAGTTGGGGCAAGTTTGGACACAATATTCAACCTTGATACTGTCTGAATTTGGATTGTGATCAAATTTTTGACATAATATAGGTTTCTGACACAAAATAAATGTGGTCAAAGATCTTAAAAATTTGAAATGGGACATTTGATTTACCTAGAATGGTCTGATATCTAAAATCTAACAACATGGTTAGATTCAGCACATAAAAAAAAAACCAAAAATTTAATTTTAGTTGAAATCAAACAAAATTTAATTTTGGACCCTTCAAACCTTAATATGGACTAATTTGAAAACAGGACCAAAAATAAAAAATCTAAATGCACAATAAGATTCAGCATATCATACAGCTGCAATTATTCAGTTTTTGATGAAGTCAAACAAAGTTTAATTTTGGACCCTTCAAACCTTAATATGGACTAATTTGAAAACAGGACCCAAAATAAAAAATCTAAATGCACAATAAGATTCAGCATATCATATAGCTGCAATTATTCAGTTTTTAATGAAGTCAAACAAAGTTTAATTTTTGACCCTTTTGACCTCAATGTAGACCAATTTAAAATGGGGCCCAATATCCCAAAAAGTAATACAAGGTTAGAATCCCCAAAAATTAAAGGCTTTTAATTAATCCCATTGAAATTGGTAAAAAGATTTGTATTTATTTTCAATTGAAGATTTCTTGCTATTGTGCAATACTGTGCACTTGAAGATTTCTTGCTATTGTGCAATACTGTGCACTTGAAGATTTCTTGCTATTGTGCAATACTGTGCTATTGCACAATACTGTCAGTTGAATATTTCTTGCTATTGTGCAATACTGTGCTATTGCACAATACTGTGCAATTGAAGATTTCTTGCTATTGTGCAATACTGTGCTATTGCGCAATACTGTGTTGTTGCGCCATACTGTGTTGTTGCACAATACTGTGCAATTGAAGATTTTTTGCTATTGCACAATACTGTGCAATTATTTGAAATTTCAAAAATTTTCAAGAAAAAAAATATGAACCCCCAAAAAAAATTGTTAACGATTGGCAGTGCAAAAATTATTTCTTGAGTAAGTTCTCCCTTTTTTCTATTCTATCAATGAGATACAGATTATAACTGGATTAGATGAAAGATTTATGGGGAGAACAATATAAAATGTCTATAAAATGTAGCAGAAAAAAGTTGCCTACACCTAGTATGGTACATACAAAATTTGCCCCCCCCCCCTCCGTTCCTGCAATGGTTGTGGCTATCCTTACCTCATCTGACTCATCCATTTTAAATGATATTTTGTCCACTGCATCTCCTACTTTATGGAACAATCTCATCACACCTGCACCACTTAAAGCTGATGTATTAGTAGACTTGGGTAAATCTCCTTCACGTTCTAAGAAATCACGGAAATCAGGATCCATCCTCAATAAAGGATGGGATGCTGTCCTGGTTAGGAATCTATATTAAATAAAACATACAATGTAATTATCAATATTCAACACATATTATTTAACAATCGTGCACACACTTAAATGTCTTGCCTACTTTACTGATCAGGATTGAATTTATGTTGAATCTTTAGATAAAGGTTTTACTATTACTGTGGATTCATTTATTTTCGTGGGTACCAATTTTCGTGAATTGAGGAAAACTAGCATTTTCATGGATATTTGATTTCGTTGTTTTAACAAAGTCTGAATACATTTCTTCAGAAAACTTGTAATTCGTTGAACATTTAAATTCGTGGTTCTCCTGTACCCACGAAATCAACAAAAATTGGTATCCAACGAATAATAATGAATCCACAGCATCACATAAAACTAAGCATAATCAATTATCTATGTAAATGAGGTCAAGTTCAGCTGAACCTTGCCAGATGAACATGTCTATCTTACAATAATTCCAAACACCAAATGTAGATGAAATATTGCTTATAGTATAGGAGAAACAGATCAAACCAAGAAAACTAAACATTTATTAATGCAATGAACCATGAAAATGAAGTCATGGTTGATAAAGGAGGACATGTACACTGTAAAATTATGCCATACACCAAATATATTTAACCTACTGCTTGTAGTACCCAAGAAAGGGACTCATCACAAAAACATAACCTTGATCACCATTCCATGAAATGGGGTCAAGTTCTGGTGGGCTCTGTCTGATGAACATAAAGATCTTGTATATCGAATCTAGTTATTCACATGACATTTGAGATTAATATGTCCCTTGGAATGGTTAGCCACCTTAATTTTTTTTTATACAGAACACTAACCTTTTACCTTGACTACATAAAAACGTTATTCAGAACACTAACCTTTTACCATGACTACAAAAAACATATTCAGAACACTAACAACACTAACCTTTCACCTTGACTACAAAAAACGTTATACAGAACACTAGCCTTTAACCTTGACTACAAAAAACGTTATTCAGGACACTAACCTTTTACCTTGACTACAAAAAACGTTATTCAGAACACTAACCTTTTACCTTGACTACAAAAAACATATTCAAAACACTAACAACACTAACCTTTCACCTTGACTACAAAAAACGTTATACAGAACTCTAGCCTTTTACCTTGACTACAAAAAACGTTATTCAGAACACTAACCTTTTACCTTGACTACAAAAAACATATTCAAAACACTAACAACACTAACCTTTCACCTTGACTACAAAAAACGTTATACAGAACACTAGCCTTTAACCTTGACTACAAAAAACGTTATTCAGGACACTAACCTTTTACCTTGACTACAAAAAACATATTCAGAACACTAACCTTTTACCTTGACTACAAAAAACACTATACAGAACACTAACCTTTTACCATGACATCAGGAAACTATAAACAAATTATACAATAAACTAACCAGGCTTTAGCCTTGACACGTGAAGACATTACACAGAATACTAACCTTTCAAGAGCAGCTCTTCTCTTTTCTATAAAATCAGATGATCCTGAATCATCTTTAGACACCTTTATTTTGGTCATACCTTGAAATAAAAAAAAATAAATGTGGATAGTGTCCACATGTGGACACAGATGATGCCCCCGCTTGCATATCATATAGTTATAAAGGGACATAACTGAAGAACAGTAAAAGTGACGCTACCCAAATTTGAACTTGATCTGAGTTTTGTGTGTAAGTCTCATAACATTTGGTTGAGGCTAACTTAAGTAGAGAACAGAAACTAAAAATTCAGCACTTTTTCTATTTATAAAGGGGCATAACTCAATAATGGTTAAAGTGACACTACCCAAATTCAACTTGATCTGTGTTTTATCAGTGAAAGTCAAAATTAAACATTGCATTGTATAAAGCATTGATTGTAGTTGATTCAACTGTAATCATAGACAAAGGACGATAACTCCAATTTTAAAAATAACTTGATATTTAGAAGAAAATAAAAATTTTGCTATTTTTTTCCATTTATAAAGGGGCATAACTCTAGAACGGTTAAAGTGACGCCACCAAAATTCAAACTTGATCTGTGTTTTGTGGTAATAAGCATTGTGTATAAGTTTCATAACATTTGGTTGAGGCAAACTTAAGTTAGAGAACAGAAACTAAAAATTTTGCAATTTTTCCATTTATAAAGGGGCATAACTCTAGAACGGTTAAAGTGACGCCACCAAAATTCAAACTTGATCTGTGTTTTGTGGTTATAAGCATTGTGTATAAGTTTCATAACATTTTGTTGAGGCAAACTCAAGTTAGAGAACGGAAACCAATTTTGGGACGTACGGACAGACGTTCGTACGTACGTACGTACAGATGGACAAGGGTAAAACTTAATGCCCCCACCGCTACGGCGGGGGCATAAAAAGTATACCTTAAGAACAAATGAAAAAAAAACACCTAATTAATTTCATGGGTCTGGGAGCTTTTCTGGATTTCAGGAATGTCTAAAGGTTTGAAAGCCAGAAATGTATGAATATGAAGAAACATTAGCAGCTAAATGATCAGAAGGAAACTAATAAACTGCTTCGCTAAGCGCAGCTGGATACGCCCGCAGAGGTCCAACCCTGAACAGTTGGGGCAAAAATGGACACAATATTCAAGCTTGATACCGGTCTGAATTTGGATTGTAATTAAATATTTGACATATTAAAGGTTTCTGAATAAATGTAGTCAAAGAACTTGAAATTGGTTATATGAATTGAATTTATATTCAATTATAGATTTCTTGCTGTTGTGCAATACACTGTGCTGTTGCGCAATACTAAGTAAATCTGTTGTCAGACTATAAACAAATAAAGTTCAATTTCTCCTCAATGTCATATTTGAAATTTATGAAAATCAATAGGGAGATTACATCAATAGCTATAAATAATTCACCAAAGTTTCATGAGAACTGATGAAAGCATTTTTGAGTTATTGTCGAAAAACTGGAAAATCCCCCCTTTTTTAATGGATAAAACCCTATAACTCAGAAATGTAAAATCTAAAATTTATAAAATTCTAAAGGGAGCTTACATCAACAGAAATAAACAATTCACCAAAGTTTCATGAGAACTGCTGAAAGCATTTTTTAGTTATTGTCCAAAAACTGGAAAATCCCCCTTTTTTTATGAATTATACCCTGTAGCTTGGAAACGCAATATCTAAAATTCATAAAAATCAAAAGGGAGCTCATGTCAATAGATATAAACAATTCACCAAAATTTCTTGCAAGTTGGTGAAAGCATTCTTGAGTTATTGTCCGAAAACTGGAAAATCCCCCCTTTTCTAATGAATAAAACCCCAAAACTCGGAAATGGTAAATCTGAAATTTATAAAAAACGAAAGGGAGCTCACGTCAATAGATATAAACAATTCAATAAAGTTTCATGCATATTGGTTAAAGCGTTTTTGAGTTATTGTCCAACATGTTGACGACGGACGGACGGACAGACGGACGGTCAATGGTATACCATAATACGTCCCGTAAACGGGCGTATAAAAAAGAATGGCAAAATTCAGCTAAGGTCGGCTTTGACTGAGGGAGTTGGAACCGTTGTTTCTTAGCAATTTCTTAATTTCTAAATACCATGTTTTCTGAGTAATCATTGTATATATAAGGATTCAATACATTTACCAGTAAATAGATTCAGAATCAAAACAGCCATTTTAATCTAAAACAAAATTGAAAGACTTGTTATGTTACGGAGTGTTTTAAAATGTGGATTAAAATGTTGTTGATTTACAGTAATGTCCAGTTTTATCTCCCAATCATCCCTTGAATTGTACATCTCTATGCTAAAGTTATCTTTTTTGCCAAAATCAAATTATTTGATTAATGACTATGTCAGTGGTGTAAACATATCTTTAAGAAAGAAAAAATCATTTTAATTTCTTGTTTTGTTTCAAATGTCTTGAATTTTAGAAACACCTTACAAAACAATGTACTAGCAGCATATCCAAATCAATGGTGACCCCATAGATGCAAATGTCCTACTACTTGGATAATGACATCAATATTTAAATAAATTTAAAACAACTTTTAATTCATTAACTGTTCTGTTATGGATTCATCATGATTGTGGTACATATAAATTTCTAAAATAATTTCCTCAGCATTCACCTGTTTAGAAATGGAATAGATATCTCAAATCATTGTTTTTATTATGCCTACTGACCAAAATAAACAATCCTAAAACTCATGCAATCACAATGTAGTATTCATAACATTTAGCTATTTTTTCTCTCTGACATTCCATATATTCATTATGTTCAAGTAGCCAATCAATTCAAAAGAACTACACTGAACTCTCTTCCTAATAACTTACACTCTACATTTGTTTCTCTTTAGCCAGTTTTTGTCATGTTCTTACCTATAACACTTTTTTCTGGAGCAGGAGGTACTATAACACCTTTCGAAACATGTTTATCTGCTAATTTAGAATGCAGTCCTAAAAAGTCACTAAATCTACGTAATACACTCAACTCAGCTTTACGAAAGGCAGGTACTGTTGTCTGAAATGTAAAAATTGCAAATTATTTATAAACTTTGCCTTTCATACAAAAGGAAGGTAAAATCAGAATTAAAATACCATTTGTTTTCCCTGTTCCTGCCTAAATCTAAAAGTAAGTCCTTCTCTAAAGTAGAAAGTAAAAAGATTTTGAGGAGGCATACAAAAACTCAAAAGTCAAAAGACAAACAACACCAAGATCAGTAGACAAAACGACAGTTCACAAAACACTACACAGAAAAATTAAATTCAATCAACAGGAACAATAGGCCCGAGAACACAGTTATTTCGTAGTGCATTTCTTTTAGACAATAAACTCAAATTAAAAAAATCGCACCTGCTCTATCTCAAAAAGATTTTTACAGTGTAGTGTACTACTATTGATACAAATAATATCAAAATTATAGAAACTTCTACCAGCTCTAACTCAAAATATTGACAATTCTGTGTTAAGGGGGGCTAAAATTCAGTTTGACAGCTTCAGACATTCTAATTTTTGACCTTTTTTAACTGGACCAAATCACTACTTAACATAAAGATTCAGCACCCAAATTTTTTTAACATGTAATTTCATCCCCTTACTTAATATTTCATGCATAAAATATCAAGAAAGAAATTGGGAAAGTGTATCAAAAAAAAAATGCAAGTTATACACTGTTCACACTAGGGACTATATTCGTAGACAACGAAAACCAAAGGACGATAACTGTGTCCTTGGACCAATACTAAAAGTTAAAGACCATATGCTAACCTCTAGATGTTGTTTTTTTTTCAATAATAATGATTTAATTCTTAAAGATAAATTAAAGAAAAACCTATTAGACTCAAAAGCTTTTGACTAAATGTGATGAAAATTCATGTACATATACTTGTGTATATGCATAACATATTAAAGATTTGTTTTTGACAAACAGGAAGTAAAATATCAAAGGAATAGAAAAGATATTACACAGTATGGTTTAATCAAATGAAGCATTGTTTTTGGCAAACAGGAAGTAAAATAGCAAAGGAACTAAAAACATACACACAGTATGGCATAATCAAATGAAGCCTTGTTTTGGCAAACAGAAAGTAAAATATCAAAGGAAAAAAACATAACACACAGTATTGCATAATCAAATGAAGCTTTGTTTTGGCAAACAGGAAGTAAAATATCAAAGGAACTAAAAACATAACACACAGTATGGTATAGTCAGATGAAGCTTTGTTTTTGGCAAACAGAAAGTAAATATCAAAATAAAATGCTCCGCTGGGGCGCAGCTTGATACGACCGCAGAGGTCGAACCCTGAACAGTTGGGGCAAGTATGGACACAACATTCAAGCTTGATACAGCACTGAATTTGGATTGTAATTAAATATTTGACACAGCATAGGTTTCTGACACAGAATGAAAGTGGTCTAAGAACTTAAAAATTTTCAATTTACCTATTCATACATGTGATGGACTGTGAAACTCAGATCAGGAGATTGGGAAATTTTGGTCAGGAGATTAGGACTCAGATCAGGAGGTTTTTAATCGACATCAATTTTGTTGTAAATGTAACCGTGTGCTGTAAAAATGGTCTTTTAAAATGTGTTTTCTTCAACTTTCCATCCAATTTATTATGTTTATAGTACCCTTGTACTTATAAAGTTTCTCCATCTTTATATTCTACATGTTCAATCTAACATTGTATTTTTCCAGTATGTTCTTTAAATTTTTTACTTCATATTCTATAAAACAATCATTGCAACCAGAACATTTGTTTAGCTATCTGCAAATAGTTTTTATTTTTTTTTTTTCTCTTGCAAATAGTTTTTATTTGCAAACTCAGTAAATCATTTTATCTGTAAAATTGGGGTCATAGTTATTATATAAATTTCAATTTAAGCCTTGAAAGGAAGTCTAGAATCCTCAAATAATTTTCAAATTATTATTTTTTTATTTGTCCTAAGACATTTAAAATCATTTAATAACCATCCTTTTATGATTATTTGTTCAATTTATATTTTATTTATATTCTTTTAAAAATTTTCATTATTAAAAGGAAAGTAACTTAAAACAGGATAAATCAAGGGAAGTAACCCAATAAATACACAGTTTTTGTTACACAACGGCAGTTAGCCTGAGGTAAAAATCGTTGATTACCTGTATGTTTGACACCCAAGCTGACAAGTGAAGCCATATAATTATGCATGTTAATTGATTTACAGGTAAAATATAACTTCAGGTAATGTCAGTTACACCAGATGCCTGAGATGATATGTTGGGCAGAAATTTTTCATTCATGAAAAATTTCATACACGGGATTTTTTCCTCTTCAACGGGAGGTCGGGAGGAGACCCCTGAAAACGGGATTATTGTACTCCCGTCGGGAGGTTCACATGTATGCCTATTCAAACCATATCATTATTATTTGCTTTTATATATAAATCAGAAATTTTATATATAAATCAGAAATAACCAATTTAAAATGGAAAATGTTAAAGAAAAAAAAGGAAAAAAAAATCCCCCCCCCCAATTTTTTGAACCCCCTTATGATTCATCACCCCCAAACTCAATCCCAGCTTTCCCTTTGTGGTATGGTACCTTGCAGTACAATTTCAGAGAGATTCATACACTTGAACACAAGTTATTGTCTGGAAACTAGAAAAATGCTTGTTTTTTGGCCCCTTTTTGGCCCCAAATTCCTAAACGTTTAGGGCAATTACCCCCAAACTCAATTCCAGCTTTCCCTTTGTGATATGGAACCTTGCAGTACAATTTCATAAAGATCCATACACTTACACACAAGTTATTGTCCTGAAACTAGAAAAATGCATGTTTTTTTTGCCCTTTTATGGCCCCTAATTACTAAAATTTTGAGGGAAAACCCCCAAAATCAATCCCAGCCTTCCCTTTGTGATATGGAACCTTGTAGTACAATTTCATAAAGATCCATACACTTACAAACAAGTTATTGTCATGAAACTAGAAAAATGCTTGTTTTTTGCCCCTTTTTGGCCCCTAATTCCTAAAATTTGGAGGAAATTACCCCAAAAATCAATCCCAGTATTCCCTTTGTGATATGGAACCTTGTAGTAAAATTTCATAAAGATCCATACACTTACAAACAAGATATTGTCATGAAACTAGAAAAATGCTTGTTTTTTGCCCCTTTTTGGCCCCCAATTCCTAAAATTTGGAGGCAATTACCCCCAAAATCAATCCCAGCATTCCCTTTGTGATATGGAACCTTGTGGTACAATGTCAGAGAGATCCATACACTTACACACAAGTTATGTATGGAAGTTACAAAAATGCTTATTTTTGGCCCCTTTTGGCCCCTAATTCCTTAACTGTTAGTACCATAACCCCCAAAATCAATCCCCACCTTCCTTTTGTGGTATTGAACCTTATGGTAAAATTTCATTGAGATCCATTCACTTAAACTAAAGTTAGAGTGCGAAAACTAATGTGTATTCGGACGACGACGCCGGACGACGACGACGACGACGACGACGACGACGACGCCAACGTCATACCAATATACGACCACAAAAATTTTTTTGCGGTCGTATAACAACTGAAAACATATCACACAGTGTGGTATAATTAGATGAAGCTTTGTTTTGGCAAACATGCAGTAAAATATCAAAAGAACTGAAAACATAACACACAGTATGGCATAATCAAATGAAGCTTTGTTTTGGCAAACAGAAAGTAAAATATCAAAGGAACTAAAAACAGAACACACAGTATGGCATAATCAAATGAAGCTTTGTTTTTGGCAAACAGGAATTAAAATACCAAAAAAGGAACTGAAAACATATCACACAGTATGGTATTATCAGATGAATCTTTGTCTCATGTACCAAGAAGCTAAGACTTGTTGATACTGAGAAAAATATGAAGAAAACCACATATTTGTGGATGACTTTTAAATGAAAAAAAATTTCGGCAGAAACTAAAAAACTGTCACAGAGTATGGCATATCCATATGAGCTTGGTGCCATATAAAGAGAAGATATTACTTGTGGTTGCTGGGATTATGTGACTGACAGATGGGGGTAAACCATTATATTCCCTTTTTTTAAGCAGGGGTATAAAAATTGTTTTATAGAGTGAATAGGAAAAGCAATATATATTATGTACATTGTTTAACCAAATATTGAAAAAAAAGTATGAAATAAACTGGATTGAGAAACTATTTCCATCTCAAATCCAAATGGAAAAAGTGAGCATAAATTTAGATTTAAGTTTCCGTACATAAAATGACTAGCATACCTTAGTTCTAACTCTGTACACCATATAAGCACCCATACCATCTCCCATCTTCTGTGGATCTGATATTTTTATATCTATTGTGAATTCATCTTCTTCCTCCTCCTAAAAAACAAAATATTTGTCAATGCTGTTGTTTTTGGATACAGCATAAATCTTATTTTCCCAAACCACTGTGAGTGTGAAAACATATATTGCATTCATGTAGCTATGACAGTATTTTGGCTGATAAGTTGTGGAATGTTAAAAAGGATTAGACTTTCGAATAAGATCTCTATACTGCCTTGTATTCAAAATTATTTTAACAACCATAATTTTTGCACTGTTATTTTGAAAAAGAAATGAAAATTCTAGAGATGTCAATAACTTGAACAACCTGTCTTTAAGGACTTAACACCTGAAGGAAAACTTGAATGTCTCAGGTAAATTATATAAGTGGTTAGAGGCTGTACTCTTAACTATCTAGATACTTCATTGTGACATTGTAAAGATAAAGGCACACATGTACATATATTATCAGTAAGTGTTGGTTTTCAAAGCCAGTTTTAGTTGCATATGAATTAATCTTACACCACAATATGGGTGTCTTAAATGTTCATATCTGGACACATATGATGCCCCTGCTTGCATTTAATGTTATAAAGGGACATAACTCAAGAACGGTAAAAGTGACACTACCCAATTTCAAACTTGATCTGAGTTTTGTGGTAATAAGCATTGTGTATAAGTTTCATAACATTTGGTTGATGCAAACTTAAGTTAGAGAATGGAAACGAAAAATTCAGCAATTTTTCCATTTGTAAAAGGGCATAACTCTAGAACGGTAAAAGTGACACCACCAAAATTCAATGCTGATCTGTGTTTTGTGGTAATAAGCATTGTGTATAAGATTCATATCATTTGGTTGAGGCAAACTAAAGTTAGAGAACGGAAACCAATTTCAGTATGTACGGACAGACAGACAGACGGACAAGGGTAAAACTTTATGCTCCTTCTGCTACGTCAAGGGCATAAATAACAAGTCCACTGTCATACAATATTTGTTTACATCACTGAAATACACTTTAACGTAATGTCAATATAAAAGGAAGTACATACTTGTGTTGGGTTTTTCTAAATTTGTTTTGTAACATATGTGAAAATGATTTTTAAATCGATTAGATCTGTATTATAGAATCGTCTGGATGTTTTTTTAGATCTTCCTAGTTTGGAGTGGTATAACACTTTAATACATCTTTATGAGCAAAGGTTTTGAGTGGTATAACACTAAGGTTCAGTAGCTATTAGTGTAAAAGATGCCATGGCAGAACTATGCTGGCAAAAGAAATTGCTTGATTTTTTAACAAGAAAATGTGTGGAATGGTTTTCATGGTATATATATTTATATAACACTCACCTCTTCCTTGGAAGGTTTAGAAGCTGTTACTTTAACTGCTGATGAGGAGCTATGCGAGGACACAGATATTTGAGGAGTAGGTGTTGGTTCCTCAACAGGCTTTGGAGGTTCTACAGAATTAAAAGGGTTGGAATCATCAGTCTTTGAAGGTTCTGGTTCAGGTACTTCCTCTTCCTCCTCCTCCTCTTCCTCTTCAGAATCAAGTTTGACCTCATCACCATCACCTGTTTTATAAATAAATACATGAATAGTGACTGTTATTAGTTAAGACTAGCATTACACATTGAATGAAGCAGATTACAGTTTAAGCTTGACAGCAGTGCCTATCACAAAACCTATATTATTCCCCTGCAAAAACTAGGTATAAGACATCAGACTCGGACTTCTCTTGAACTGAATTTTAATGTGCGTATTGTTATGCGTTTACTTTTCTACATTGGCTAGAGGTATAGGGGGAGGGTTGAGATCTCATAAACATGTTTAACCCCGCCGCATTTTTGCGCCTGTCCCAAGTCAGGAGCCTCTAGCCTTTGTTAGTCTTGTATTATTTTTAATTTTAGTTTCTTGTGTACAATTTGGAGTTTAGTATGGCGTTCATTATCACTGAACTAGTATATATATTTGTTTAGGGGCCAGCTGAAGGACGCCTCCGGGTGCGGGAATTTCTCGCTGCATTGAAGACCTGTTGGTGGCCTTCTGCTGTTGTCTGTTCTGTGGTCGGGTTGTTGTCTCTTTGACACATTCCCCATTTCCATTCTCAATTTTATAGTACTATACACTACAGTTACCAATAAACAAAGCCAAAACATCCATATTTTGATATAATTGACTTTCAGTCTTTTGTCAATAACTAATACATTGTATGGAAAAATTGTAAAATACAATGAACATGTGATAGATAAGTTGAGTAAATACTATGTAATGCTGTTTGACAGGAACATTTGTTTATTGATATTTATGTCTTATAGCATGTAAGGGGCCAGCTGAAGCCCGTCTCCGGGTGCAGGATTTTTTTGTAGTGTTGGACCCATTGGTGGCCTTGGGCTGTTTTCTGCTCTTTGGTCGGGTTGTTGTCTCTTTGACACATTCCCAATTTCCATTCTCAATTTTATGGTCCCTTTAATAGTCATTTTGGTGACACATATCAAGAGTTATTTCTTTGTATGTCTCCCCCCTCCCCCACCACCAAATATCAATTGTGAACACTTATGGACAGTGTAAGCCTTTTTCAATTTATAATCAATCAATGTAAGAATTTACCACTAAACAAATCATCAGTATTTATATCTGCTTTAATTGGTACTCTTGTTGGTTCTTCTTGTTTTGAATCTATAACTGGTTGTTCCTGTAAGAAAAGAAAACTGATTTAAGTACTAAATAGTAAGGTGTGCTTCCTACTGACTCCATTTTAACTGATAACCATTTATTTGTAGAGAAATTTTTAAAGAAGTACAAATTAGTTCTATACCTGTAATATTCTTTTACAATGACTGCATGTTTTACTATAATTTTAGTCAAATGTCTAAATTGAATAAACCATATAATAATGTGAAACTAGTATCTACTCATTGAGTATTTGCATTCTGTGTCTTTATGCATGGATCTCTTATTCAAATTAAACCTCCGAGTTAAATGAATTACACACTGATTTGTTCTTTACCAATCCCTAAGACTTGAAACGCTAATAATTCAGAAAACTATTAATTGAAACAATTACTTTTCCACAAACCATGAAACTAATCATTCACAAGTCAGCATTAATAATATATATAACAAATGAAAAGTGATAACATGAAAATGACTTCTGGTGGTATGCATTGGCAAAGCAATGTGAGGATATCATGATGACAACAATTAAGCGGAAATTTCAGGTATATGTATATATGTATAATGTGTGTGTCAAAGTGACAATTATGTAACACAATATAGATATTTCTATTTCAAAGTACAACTTTGTACATGTACATGAAATACAATATATTACAATTCTAAACATACAATTTTAGTCAATAAACATGTATATAAATAACAATCAGGCTTTAAACGCTTATGATGCACTGTTGTTTATGTACGAAATATTATATATATCAAATTTCAAAATCATATTAATCCTTAATATATCTGAAGCTTAAATCTTCTAGATAGTTTCAATATATATAATGTGAAAATAAAGGTGAAAGTATTTAATTATTATAGGTTTGAACATGTAAGGGATTTTGTTGTGAATGTAAAATTTGGATCTTCTATAATTGTTGGCGAAATTGTAAAAAATGCTTTCCTTATCACATGTACATGTGTATAGCAATTGGATTTATGATTTTTACCTACATGTTAATTATCCTGATAAAATACATGTGGCTGTGATTCAACATGCTGTTATTTCTCTAATTATACACTTGCATGACTTACTAGTATATTTATAGGAATATAGTTTTTAAGTTTTACAAATGAAATACATATATACATGTATACATGTATACAATAAAGATATAGATCTAGCATTAAAAATATGCATCACTAGTAACATATATGGACTGATGGTATTGAGAGGAATATTTGAGTGCAGATTTTTCATACCTCAGTTTTTGATTCATCAGTAGTTTTCTTCTGAAATCAAAGCTTTAAATCAGTATATATCATGTTTTATTGGCAATGTATTAATATTAAAATAACAGAGAAGAATAGTGAACTCTTTGAATATAATAAAGTGCTCCACTACTTCAAGCAAAAAAGAGTGTGTTTGTGTGTTATCTGGTCTGAACAGAGACAACATATCATAACTAGATCTAGTGACATGGCTTTTTGATATTTACATGTGAAATTAATCAATACATGTATCATTAGAAATAAATAGAACAAGAATCTGTCAAAATGAAAGAAAACAAGGGTTTTTCTTACATCTGTTAGTCTACTTGTTAAAGCAATCAAGGACCATACTGACTCAACAACAAAAGTGTAAATCATCAAAACCTATCCTGACCTTCATTTTGTCATGAAAAACAACATATCAACATTTGAAATGGAAAAGATCAAGCGTTCTCAAGTTATTACTCAGACCAATTAAAAAGCCATTTCACATTACTCAGGGACTATAACACCTGCGCTAGACTTCAACAGATTCAATTTTCACTCTTATAATTACTTGCAAATGCACATATATGATAAATAAACTTAAATTTTATAAATCTAAAATATTTATTTAATTATGCCTTTCTAACTTTCTATTATCATGAATATTTTTTGCATGGTTCAAATATATCAATTCACCTCAATAGTGTAAATAAACTACTCATAAATTATAATCTAATCATTTAAAGAAATGTAATTTAATCATTTAAAGAAAAAGAGATCATGAAGGTGTCCGAAATAATTTTCGATATATTATTTTAGTTTGTCCTAGGAGGTTAAAATCATTTAAGAACATTCATATTCAACTGTGCATTTAAATTTGTTTTTAATATGTGTTTTTATAAAAAAAAAACATTATTTAAAGGAGTGTAATTTGAAAAACAAGGTAAAACAAGCAAAGTAACTCAAAATTTATTTCTAAACCAGTATGAAATACACAGATTAATTAATTATAACCATAACCCCAAGGTGACAGACATCAATTTACAGTCACTTAATTGGCCTAATTTTTTAACTTGTTTGTAAAATTAACCTTCATCTTTGACACAAATTCAATGTTGGGGAATGGCATGAATGGTACAACAAAAATTGAGACAGATGAATTTTTAATGAAATATAAAAAATGCGAAAGATTTTAATTTTTAAATGGAAGGACGAAAGAGGGTTTGAAAATCAAGTGAATTTTACTAACAGAATTACAGGTATGGGAAGTATGCAGTTTATGTCAAAATTTTCCTGAATAAAGATTAATAGACTTGATAAGAGATTTTATGGGCAGTAAAATGAGAAAACCACCAAGAACTAAGAATTGCATAAGGAGTTACAAATGTAGAGCACCTGCAGACTACAGTAAACTTATATTTACCAGGAAGACACCATTCACCAACCTTGTCAATTACTGTCAATCCAAACAAACAAATATGCTATGGTGATAAATTGTAACTTATATGAATTTTTCGTTTATATAGATAAATTTCTGTGGTCAAAGCATGATGCGCATATGAGTAACACCCCTAAAATAGTATCAACGTCAAAGGAGCCGGTTTGACTATGGGGAAAACATTAGGGTGATATTTCCTGTGTTTAAGTTTAATTAGAAGTAAAAGTGTGAAATTTTTTTCCATGATTAAAAAGATTAAGATTTGCATCAGTTAAATAACCTCTATAGCTTCAGAAAAAATGTCATCTTCGTTGTTTTCGTTTGATTCCTCCATCGGGGGTGGTTCTCTTTCGTCTGCCATCTTTATTGTCACGTGATATAATCATTAAAATCCATGCAATTTTCAGAATGATAATGCGATACGAACAAGAGTGGCGTATTATACGGATTAGTTTTAACAAAACGATTATATACACGTATTTACAATTTGTGTATTTTAATAGATGAATTTGCTCCGAATGACTCTAGATTTTGTAGAAACCTGGAATAGTAAATTATAAAAATGAATTCTAATGATTTAGTTGTCCAAATAATTATGACGTCTATATATATATATACATGTCTCTGCTACGACGAGTCACGGCAAAATACAAAATAATCTTTCAAGACGTCATAATTAGCTGGACTATCTAATGATATGCAGCAAAGAAAACCGCTCTTAGAATTAGTTTCCATATAGGCAAAGTAACTTGAACGGACCTTATTCGAGTAAAATACAATCTGAGAACACGCAAAAACTGAAAGAACTGAAAAAAAGGGAGAAAATATACTAAGGGCATCAATCAAACAGTTTTGTTTGTTATTTTGTTTTCAGTGGTCATGGTGTTGTCTGTTTTTATTGGACTTCTAATTCTTGTTTGTTCGACAAGGATATCTTCTTAATTTCCATCCTCTTTAATAGTGGAAATAAAATAGGAAACGAAATGTCCAACTGTGACAATTCCCCCCCTCCCCCATACATTTAATGGAGTAAAGTTTACTGTGTGAAACTAAAATATCCAAATGAAATTCAGACAAACCTTTAAAAAAATTGTTTTTGACCATAAACTTTGGTTCATAACAATACAGGATTACTACGGTGAAGTCTAGTACGTACGACGTAAATATTAAGTAAATAATTAATTTTCAGAGAGTAGCACAGTTTGCACCAATACAGCTAATATCATCAAACTAAAATTCTAAAATAAATAATATATGAAATATAATGATTTTTGCTTCTACAATAAATATGCTGAATATTTAAAAAAAAACAAACGTATCAATAGTTTCCACACTTTTTAAACTAAGTAGTAAAGAATTCCATAATAACATGAATCAGGTGCTTGTATAATGTCTTGCTAGTAAAGGGGCATATATTTTTTTAAACTTTTCTCATTACATAAGAAAGGTTTTTAATGAATTACAGTAAACATGGTAAATAACGCTTTCAGATTTTTCGAATGATCATTTTATTTTATCTTGGATGATTAAAAAGATTAATATGTTACAGTGTAAATTAAAGTAGTCAAAAAGTCATAATGTTCAACCGAACTGAAAAGTTTTTTTCAATGCAAATATAAATTACTCCACTATTTTTATATGATTTATTCTGGGAATAGTATGACTATTATGTCCCAGCCTTTATTACGAAAGTCTTAAAATACTAGTCAATTGTGTCAGGGAACGAGCTAAAAGGACAGAAAGCTTAGTTGTGGAACCTTTACTAGAAGTCGAGATGAAACGATATTTAACCTTCGCTTGTGTAGAACTTGGGTAGTCAATATATGAAATGTCCTCGGTTATTTTTGTCGTGAGGTTGCAGATTCATTAACGCATACCCCATATCACCTTTTATTCAAAAGAAGGGAACACGTCAAAATGACAAAGAAGACGCAGGTAAAAAAAAAAGTATAAACTTCAATCATGTGTATCTTTTTTTTTACTCGCACAGTTAGTTACAATTATTTTTTCTTATAATTGAAAGGTAAAACAAAAATACACGCATTATAAGTCAAGTAGGTTATTTTTTTCAACATGTATCAACGTCAATGAATGAATAGATAAATGTGTCATGGAGTGGTCTGACACGACCCTCATAAGAAACTCTTGTATGAAGAAAGGGCATACTTAAAGACCTCTTCTTGCATGTTTGACGGATCTACGTTCAAATCTCTTGTATGAAAAGAGTTATATGTATCATTTAGTGGTAGAAATTGTTTGTTGACCTTTTCATACAAGAGATTTGAACGTCAACAACTTTTAAAAGTTTTCTTTTTGTATATTCAAGAGATAAGCTTGACATTTTGTTTTAAAAAAACATTTATACTTTACCTTTCTTTCAAAGTCAAAGGCAAGGAATTCCACAAGGTTCCGGAATACATAAATGTTCTTTTACCACAATTAGTTTCATATCGTTGAACAAATATATTATTTTGGGAAGATGATTTTAATGCGTATCTATTATCAACTGAACAATTTGAAAACAGTTCAGATAAATATTCAGGTGCTAGATTATCCATACACTTATAAACCATCATTATCATGGAATATTTAATTCTAATGACTATTTTAAATGGTAAGCCATCCTTACTTTTAAATATAACTGATGAAGAGATATCAAAATCTGTATTTAAAATGATTCTTGCTGTCCTCTTTATTTACTTGTATAATTCGTCAATATTAGTTTTTGAAGCATTTCACCACACGTACAACAGTATTCCATTATTGAAAGACTATATCCATTACAATATAGTTTGAGAACACCTACTGGAAGATATGCTTTTAGTCGGGCCATAAGATGCAGTCTGCTTACAACCACTGCACAAAGTTTGTCAATTTGATTTCCCACGAAAGAGATTTTTCAATATGGATTCCTAGCAGTTTTAAATTATGAACGACGTCTATTATATGTTCATCATCAAATTTGATACTTAATTTTGTTTTCAAACGTTTATCTATTAGAACGAACTAACATGACCTTAGTCTTATCTCTGTTCAATATCATATCATTATCATTGCACCAATTCATAACATAACAAAAATCTACATTCATAAATGCATTTAAATCTGTTACTGATGGAGATGACTTATATAATGTTGTATCATCAGCATAAAGTTCAGAAGACACATGTTCAAGCACAAGAGATAAATCATTGATAACTATTATAAAAAGTAAAAATTCTAGTATGGAACCCTGTGGAACTCCAAACTGAACTTCTCTGAAATTAGATCATTGATCATTACCTTTTGAAATCTTCCTGATAAATAAGATTTAAACCAATCAATAGCATGATCATCACAGTGATACATTTGTTAGTTGCTCAGTAAAAATATGATGACGAACAATATCAAAAGCTTTTCTAAAGTCTTGAAAAAGAGCACAAATTAAATTCCCTTTATCCATTTCGCTTAGCCATGCATCAATTCATTTAAGGAGGGCAGTGCTACATAAATGTTCAGATCTAAAGCCCGATTGCTGCTTTTAAAAGATGCATTACTTTTACGAAATATGCATATAGTTGCTTAAATACAATTTTTTCAAAAATTTTGGAAACGGTTGGGAGCATGGATATTGTCTATAATTGATCATATCAGTTGCATCACCACCATTGTGGAGAGATATAACCATAGCTTCCTTACTACAATCTTCAATTGATACAATTTAAAAATAATTTATCCATAGAACCACTCAGTTTTAATCTTAATTTACGATCTTTAAAAAAACATCAGCGTAGAAAATGGGGAGTTCCGAATCAAAACTGACATCTATTATAGTATCTTTAGTAAAGGCTTTAAGTAATTTGTATTACGAAATCCATGCCTTAACAATTTATAAGTTATACATATATTACGTCAACTGAAACATTAAAAGTTATTTCCGACAGGGACATAGCTAACGAGTGAATGAGTGAGGATAATAAACACACCGGCAAGGAACATCACCATCCAAAAAAAGGGAAAAAATTAACAAAACTGAACGAAAACGTTTCTTTTGTTGTAAATTTTAGTTCCGAGTTTCCCATGAAATATCTGAATAAAAAAAGGACAATTATTCTATTCGCGTTAGATTTTAAGTCGGTTACAATGGTTAAAATTCCATATTATAATTTGATTTTTTTCTTTTGTTGTTGGATTCTAAACCTTTTGCATTTTAGTTGGTTAATCTCTCATGTTGTTTAAATCTGATCCTTTTGCTTTTTCGTTGGTTAATCTTTGATGTTGATTAAATCTGAATCGTTTACTATTTCGTTGGTTAATCTTTGATGTTGATTGTATCTGAATCGTTTACTATTTCGTTGGTTAATCTCTGATGTTCAAATCTTTTGCCTTTTTAGTTGGTTAGTTTTAGAACGTTGTTTGATTCTATCTTTTAGTTTTTATTTAGTTGTTTGATTCTGAGCCGTTTGGCATTAGATTTTGAGCCTATTTGCTCTTAAGTTAATTGTTGGAGTCTATCATTCTGATCCTATTTCTATTTTGTTATTGCTCTTATGGATTTTATTTTGAGCATCTAGCTCTATATTTCATAGACCCTAATCTATCTACTCTTTTGTTTGTTTAATTTTGAGGCTTTTGTTCTGTTGATTCTGTTGATTCTGATAATTTTTCTAATTTTTTTCTTGTTTGATTCTGAGCCTTTGGCTCTTTTGGTGTTTGATTCTGAGCATTTTGCTTCCTTGTTTCATGATTCTGAGCCTATTGTTTGTTTCTGCACCTTTTGCTCTCGTGTTTGGAATGGAGCAAACGGATCTTTATTCCTTTGATCCTGAGGGTGTTATTCCTTTTTTATTTAGTCTATTGCTCTTGGACTTTGAGCCTTTTGCCTGTGTTTATTCTTACCTTTTGCTCTTTCAGTCTTTGATTTTGAGCTTATTGCTTTTTTGTTGTTTGAATCGGAGCCTATCTATTTTTTTATTGTTAGTTTCATAAACTTTTGCTTTTCTGGTGTTTGATTTGGAGCCAAGTTTTCTTGCTGTTCAATGCCAAGCCTTTTTCATCTATGTTGTTTGATTCTGCATGCGTTTGTTGCATTTGATAAGAGTTTTGCTTCCTTGATGTTTGATTCAGAGCTTATTGCTTTTTTGTGTTTCTGAGCCTTTTGCTAACTCCTTAATGCTGAATGCTTAGTAGAGAAGCAGCAAAATAGAAATTACCAGTTTTAAAAGGTTTTTTTTACAAGGTCATTGATCGAACTCATAACTTTCAGCACTTGAAGCGAGCACAATACCATAACCCAACCGAGGCAGTTGACTTTACATTGACCAATGATCCATGAAAACAAGGTCAAAATAGGAAGAACCCTGACTAACAGACATTTACACCTTACAAATATTACATTCATCAATTGAAGTTAACCTTTTGCTGATACATGTAGTATAAAAACAAACTTTACCATCAAAACCAGTCAAGCATTTTATTTGTGTTGGACCATATAAGATACCAATGTGCTGCATTTTATAAACATGGCCATTATCAAAGAAAACGAAAATTAGTTTCATATTTATAATTACAATATGACTCTGTATGTACATAAACAAACATGACTTTAAATTTAACAAATATATATATATAATGTTTGTAAATAAACACAATAAGCAATGGTCTTTGCAAAACATGGCCTCTTTCAAGAATAGAAATAATAGTAATTACCTTAACCAATTACTCTGAAATTTCTACCAGAACAAATTTGATGAATGGCAAATACAGTCAATACATCAAAAGATCGTTATACCTACAAACCTACACTTAGTTTTTTTTTCTATTCCTTTGCAAAAAAAGTTAAATTCGAATCAATGTAAACAAATACATTTTTATCTCATCTTGGAAATGCCATTGCAAGTAAAAAAAATTCTTGGTAATCTATAAATGGGCTAAGAAATGATGAATCAAATTAACAACATAACCATGCATACTCTAAATACATACAAACATTTATAACAAGAGAACAAGGTCATATAAATAATATTCTCTCCCTTGTGCTGAAAAATATTCATCTATTATATATATACAAGAAGGTAAAAAAAGTGAAGGTCTTCGAAATAACACTTTTTTCATTTTTTACCCTTTTTTAGTCAAAAATATTAAGGTCATTGAAGTAATATTCTTTCTGATCAATTTTGAAGTTTTCTATGTCATGTTTTGTGAAATGTTTTTTTTTTTCGTTTTTTTCATATCTTTTTTGAATATCAACTGAGAATTTGAATAAAACTTTGACTACCAAATAATGAAATATATGAACCAGAGGTGAATTATATATGGAGGTTGGAAAAAATTATTTATTTTTTGGATTAATTTGCAAATTTCATTTACCCAATTATTTATTTGTTAAAGTGTAGATATAAAAGTTCATATCTGTAAATGATTTCAAAGCAAATTATAAAATTATCTTTGCAGTTGAAATCATTACAATTAATGAAATTTCAATGTGATTACTTACAACTCTTACTTAAACAACAACAATCATTAGTATAAAAGGTATGAAAGCTTTTGTATATCTCTGTTATTCAGTTCACAACACACAGTTTACACATTTACATTGTATAAGTAGTATTCCATTATGACAATTTATAACCACAGTCTGGCATGTGAATACATAATTAAAAACAAATTATCTCCCTGAACAAAATGTAAACAGAAAAGTTAAGAATTCTTACCAAAAAAAAAAGAAAAGAAGTATACATAATTCCCAATATAAAAGTATTGTGTGAAACACTATTCCTATAAAAACAATACAAAATAATAATATTTAATGTTTTATTAATTGAAAACTCATTTGAATAAACATGATAAATAGATACTAAGTAATTGATTTTTTTGGTTGGGAAAAATGACTTCTAAAAAAAAGTATTACCTTTGTATAAGATAATTACAAGTTATTACTTCAATCTAACATAATTGACTTGCGAGCATCAGATTCAAAGCTTCAATTAAAGCAAAACTACATGTAACAAAAACAATAAATTTTTTATAAAAATATGAAATACTTTTGTGCGCCTCAACATTCACCCATTTCATAAAACTGATTTTAATTGGGTGTTAGTAACAATATCATATTTTGGAGACAATTTCACAGTCAATAATAATATTGCACTATTGTAAGTCAGAGGGATAACATCAATACAATGATGGTAGATTCTCTAACTTGTTCAGTTACCATTGTAACATGAACAACATGATGGTAGATTCTCTAACTGGTTCAGTTGCCATGGTAACATGAACACAATGATGGTAGATTCTCTTAACTTGTTCAGTTGCCATGGTAACATGAACACACTGATGGTAGATTCTCTGACATGTTAAGTTACCATGGTAGCATGAACATAATGATGGCAGATTCTCTAAATTGTTCAGTTACACTTTAAATTGCATTTTATCTCATCAGTTTTCAATTAAATATGGGTTGTGTCTCATTTAAATATATATTTTCTGTCTTGTTAACCTAAACAAATGTAAAGAACCCCTTCCCTCTTCTAACTCCTCCTCCCTAAAACAAATATAACAAAAATAATTTCCGAAAAAAAATCTATCAACTTGTCCAAATTGTATCCTGTTATCTTGGTTTCTTTTTACAAAGTTACTTTTAAACTAAAAAAGTGTTTCCTATCTACCAGTCTGTAATTCGAAGAATAAAAATGCCGGTAATTATTTACTCGAATACAAGTATCAACACATATGTCTCTTCACAGTGAGTAAGGCCAATAAAATTGTGTGTCTACAGTCACGACTCACAGTATACAATGATCATAGATGGGTGTATAAAATCATAGGATTTTGTTATATATTCTGTATACAATGGTACATATTAAATAATCAAATGTTTCTTTTTAAAGAAATAAATTATTGTTAAACTCAAGACAGAAATCTGATTAAATTAAAGAATTCTAGCAATGGCAATCATGACACCAGTTTCTCTGATAAGAAAATTTAAAACATTTGTCCACTAACCTTACTTTTGTACAGGCACGACTGTTTCCCTTATTAAAGTTACCTGATTATAAAAGTAGATCAAAATGAACATGTATATACCCCAATTATTAATTTTACCTCTCAAAAAGCAATTAAACACATGTTCGTAATTTTTGTTTTACACTAGAAATTCTCTATATAGGGATCTAAAAGAAATGTGATGCTGCTGAACAACTTGGCAAGTATACAGTGGAAGCAGTCAGACATTACACTTTGTGTGTCGTTACTGTCACTCACTTAAATCTACCAATATTGTGGCATCCCTGATTTTTATGATTCTGGATGAATTAAACGTCTATGAGAGTTCTCCTTCTGCTAATTTACTCTGTATGATGGAGGGTTTTCTAGGAGGTAAGGATTCTGGCGTAGGGATAGCATCTCCAATAGATTCCTGTAATATCATCTTTTCTGTGGGAGCCAAAGGGGTCTTTGGGTTGTTCATCTTAGCTTTGGCCATATTATAATCCCCGGAATCAAAATATTTTTGCTAAAAAAAGAATTCAAATAATCTGATTAAATTGTACATATCTATCATTTTCTATAGCAAATTAGAGTTAAAATTTTGAATGATAAAAGACATATAGGAGGGCAGAATCTCACACTCTGATTTAAACTGAAGTAGGAAAGTGATATGTAAAATAAAATAATATATGTGATGTAGATAAAAATGAAAAATATATCTACATTTTTTTACACTCAAGTTTAATTTATGTGCTTTGTCTATATGCCATTTTGTTTTTCTTCTTTGACACATTTGTTTATTTTCATAAGAGATTAAGATTATAACACAATTTTGGCTGCTGTACCCCTATTTTTCACCTATAATGTCTGTTTGTTTTTGTTCACACATTGTTGTCAATATAAGGGAATTTTAAACTACTGTCATACAAGCGAGAGGTTTAGCTAGCTATAAAACCAGTCTTTATCTACCATTTTCTACTTAGGGAAATGCCTGTTGTTTTCCATTCGTTTGATGTGTTTGAGCATTTGATTTTGCCATTTGATAAGGGACTTTCCGTTTTGAATTTTCCCAGGAGTTAGGCATTTTTGATATATTACTTTTTGCACGCCTTTTTGTATGGAATGCCTTAAAATATCCAATTTTGTACAGCACTATGTATTTATGTAGGGTTATTCTTCAATGCTACATTTTTTTGTATTAATTTTGGCAGTAGTCTTGATGGTCCATCTTATTTTGAATTGCTCTACTTACTCCTCTCTGCAATCTTTTTGCCAATAGTCCAGATGGTCCACCTGGTTTCACATTGGGATATTTAGCTTTTAATTTTGCTTCTTCCATCATCATTTTCTCCTATCAAAATTACAATTTTGATGTTTGTTAATCATGTTTCTGTTTAGTGGGTAATAAGCTGATTTCAATAGATTATATGTGTTTGGTCAAGAAAATGGAAATTATAATTTAATGCAAGTAAATTATGTTAACATGCCCTTTATAGCTTGCTGTTCGATGTGAGCCAAGGCTCTGTGTTGAAGGCTGTACTTTGACTTATAATTGTTTACTTTTTACACATTGTGACTTGGATGGAGAGTTGTCTCATTGGTACTCATACCACATCTTCTTATTTCGATGGTAAGTTATGCACTTTGGTAGAAAAAACATAATAATTTCGTCTAGATACACAATGTTAGATAATGAGGACAATTTTGTCTAGATACACAATGTTAGATAATGAGGACAATTTTGTCTAGATACACAATGTTAGATAATGAGGACAATTTCGTCTAGATACACAATGTTAGATAATGAGGACATTTTCGTCCAGGTTCATCCTGTAACCAAAGAATTTAGGTGTAACATTTGGGCCGAACCTTAAATTTGATAAGCATATATGTTACTATCTGTGTGAATAATTTAAAGCTGCATTGTGAACCTGAAAAATAATATAAAAATGTTTAGATTCTAAATAAAAATACAACAGAACATTCCCCAATAAAACTGTGCCCATCTGTACTTAAATCCTCACATCAAACTAGCAAATTATGTATCTTGGCATTTCAGGTTCTCACTAGGGCGAGTCCATGAAAATCTGTCTGAACTCATCATTTTCAAATCTGATGAGTCCCGCATTAAGATTGTAAAACGTTGTACCAACTGACCAAACATTGTCTTTTATAGAAAAAGTTTAAAATTAATCATAACTACATGAACTAGATGTCATTGTCTTCGTCTATTTTGTCTAGTTTAGACTTGCTGGTGAGAACCATGGTCCCACCGTTACTGTGCAGTTATGAAGCTGTATACAAAGACTACCGTAAAAGGTAAGAATTTTTTTTACAGATTCCACAAGACAAATATGTTTTAAATTTTTACCTGCTTCAGGTGTAAGGGATGGTGCTGTAGTCGTAAAAAGTGTTGTTTCGAGATGAGTAAGTTTTAACTTTCCGGAAATCCAGTAATTATAAAGCTTGATAAGGGATTCTGAGGACAGCCAAACCACAAAATTGCTTCGGACACAGAATCCCAAACTGTGTTTAATGATAAGTAAAACAAACCTAAACCAACAACCTTTTGGAGTTCATCAGCCATGCGCAGCAGTTAGTAATCATAAAAAATGTGATGAATAACTGGATACCATAAGAAGTTATCACCTTACCACCTGTCTGGTATTAAATCCACATTTCGGCTGTGGTGACTGGTGTACATGTAATTGTAAAACCCTTTCCACAAATTATATTGACTTGAGAAATAAGTGTATATACACTACAAAATGATGATCAGAATGAAATCCACCTCAAATTTGACTCACTTACTCTTAGATTGTATGAAAGAAATAATCCTAACCTGAAAATAATAAATGTCTATTAAAATGGAAATAAAACAAATGACAAAAAAAGATCACTCTTTGCACCGAAATATTCATGGAACGAAATAAATGGGTAATGTTTTACCTTTATCGTCATTGTTGTGGGTTCAGGTGCAACAAATTCTGGCTCTTTTCGATCTATTGTTCCTTCCGATGACATGTTTATCTTGTTTTGAACGGCTCTCGCAGACTTTACAAATTAGAGATGGAGGCGCTCACACGGTACTCTAATTTCCACCAATCAACAGCAAAGATTTAATTTTCCTCTTATAGTATGTGATTTAGCATAAAACCTAAAAAACATGACGATTAGAGAGGAACTACAATACAATAATTTAATTAATGAATCGAAGTACCCTCATGAAAGCAGAATAGTTATAATATTCATTATCGCTGCAAGACAATATGTAAGAGATAAATTTGTCCTGGTAAAATATGTCCGGGCGGACACATATTACTAGTATAAAAAGTCCATGGTTACAGAATTTACTAGTATTTTTAGTCCGATGTTAGTAATTTATGTCCCCAGACTAATTTTCCTAGGAATTCAAGTCCATGTCATCAATATTCCTAGGTAAAAACGTCCATGTCCTTTTTTTTATAGGAAAAATATTAATGAATCAAATCATTTACATTTAAACAATATTGGAAATTTAAATATTAAGTTTTAATATTATTTTAAAAGGTAAATATAAATGTTATGTTTTAATATTGTTTAAGAGTTGTGTATCAATTTTCTTAATATAATGTTTGTCCCCAGACTAATTTTCCTAGGAAATCATGTCCATGTCATTAATATTCCTAGGTAAAAACGTCCATGCCATTTATCTTAAAAGGAAAATTTTAATGAAACAAATTATTTACATGTTAACAATGGAAATTCAATTTTTATGTTTTAATATTGTTTAAGAGTTGTGCATTAATATTTTAATAAAATTCATGTTCCCAGACTAATTTTCCTAGGAAATCATGTCCATGTCATTAATATTCCTAGGTAAAAACGTCCATTCCCTTTATTTTGAAAGTTAAATTTAAATGTTATGTTTTAATATTGTTTAAGAGTTGTGTATTAATATTTTGATAAAATTTATGTTCCCAGACAAATTTTCTTAGGACATCATGTCCATGTCATTAACATGCCTAGGTTATAACGTCCGGCAATGTCCTTTTATTTTAATAGGAAAAATTAATGAAACTTTCCAATCTTAACTAAGAAAATGTCTTTTTTATTTTCAATAATTTTTAAAATATAATAAAAATTACCTGAAAAACATGTCTTGGGACAATTTGTCCTAGGAAAATAAGTGCCAGACATATTTTACTAGCTATATGGACTTATTTTCCTAGGAAAATTTGTCCTGGGACTTAAATTCCTAGTAAAATAATGGTCATGGACTTGATTAACTAGGAAAAAAAGTCTGGCGGACAAATTTTACTACCGGATCAAATTTACTGTTACAAAAGCATACAATACTTTACATGATTTCAATGATTGAGCACATTCCTGAATTAAGCACCTGTTCATTTATTAAGAAAAGAACTGCATACGATCTTGGACATACTAGAGCATACTATATTAGTATAATAGTCTCAGAAACAATATACTGGTAAATAAAAAAAAAAATGCAATATGGATTACAGCCTTTCTTCGAAATTCCACAATATTGACTTTATTGAGGGTTCATTGGGTTTTCATCCCAGAATGTCATCTATTTATTGAAATATATGAAAAGCTTTCACAAATCGATTGACCTCGATTTATTTGTTGTACGCTACGAACAGTCGGGAAATAACTGAACAGCGGGTTACTGAAGTGCTCTGACAAGATATGTTTTCATTGTACATATTAAATCTAGACTGGCTCCACGGTCATGTGAAGATGAATATCATTTTCTCCTTGACTGTCTCACGATGAACGAAAAAAAAATGACAAATGAAATAGGGCCATTCAAATGTTTAAATCAAATGCTTGTTGACATTGAAGTTTGGAGATTGCATAATTCATTTAGCAGTGGGAACTAAAAAATATTAATTGTAGTGCATTTTATCATTAGAGACATTAGATGGTTTAGTGGACAAAGGAAGATAACTCTAATTTTCAATATTACTTTAACAAAGAGAATTTCCATATCTTGGAGTATAATAATTTTTTCCAGAAAAGGTACCTTTCAAAGTAATAAGTCTAGACTTGTACAACAATACAGAAATAGCATCATGTTCTATTATTGGGTAATGCAAGATCATTAACAGATATTTTATAAAAAATTGTTTGATGCTTTGGTCGCACCTATTCTGTTGTATGGTGCCGAGGATTGGGGTTATGCAAAACTGATTTAGTTAAATCTTTACATTTAGAATTTTGTAATGATATTATGAAAAGTTAATAAAAATGTACACTTAATTGCACTGTAAAAAAGAGAAAATTTCTTATACACTGTATGCAATGCTGTTAAGACTTGACTGTGGTCATTTTTATCATTTTAAATGGTTAAATTATCACGGTAAAAGATATATAAATATATATATATTGAATGTGGATATGTTGATACCTGGAATAATAAATTTGTGGGAAAGTATTGTAATTTATCTAAAAATGTGAAACAGTTTTACTATCATGTGTTTGTGGTGCTAGGTGCTAGATGACTTCGAGATGAAGAACAGGAATAAAAGCACTGTTCCTTCGCTTTTTGTATTTTTTGCTTTCTTTCCTATTGTTAACGATGGGTAAACTGAAGTATTCAATACGTCTGTTTAAAATGTTTAAATTATAGAATTTTGTGATAAAATTATTTTTTGTATATCAAAGAAGTGTCAAGAGAATAGAGTCCTAATTACGGCGGAGGACATTTAATAAGTGCATTGAAAGGACATTTTAGCGAGAGAAAAAATCGGACGTTTTAGCGCCAAAGTATAACCCATTTTAGCGCAAGATTTTAAACCCATAGTAGCGAAAAGTTAAATGATCAATGTCCATTTAAGCACAAGATTGTAACCCCCTTTTAAGCGAAAAAGTGAAATTATCAATGCCCGTTTTAGCGACAGAAATATATAATTATAAATAATAAATAAAAAAAATTAAAAGAATCATCACTAAAAGTCTAAAAGGTTAACTCAAATGTTACAAGTCCGTTCTAGCCTGGAATTTATATCCTAGAGAACGTAGGTAAAAGGCTTTTGATATACCCCCTGTGCAATACTCTCATAAAATTGCAGTAGGAACTATTCCTTCTCTTTATCTTTTCTATATTGAGGTGCACACTATCTATACTTCTTATTTTGATTTATATATTGTTGTTTGCAATTTGATGATAGTATCCACAAAAACGTTAATGCTTGGTGACAACTATAAAATTGCCCATTATAATGGGCATGGAACGACTCTGGACCATTACCTGTTCGCTTTGAATTACATAGAACTTCTGCTCAAAGATTAGGTGGAAACGTTGTTTCTTTATAGTTACATATTATTCGGTCAGATATTCTATTTATTCTATTACGGTAGCCATCACATATTATACTTTTCTTTCCTCTGTTTGTTTCAACATGTGTATTTACATGATGAACCAAAGTGTAAATACAAACAACTCAAACATCAAGCCAGCACATATTACTGTTCATTGAGGGGCGTAAAAAAGGGGGGGGGGGTATCTGCACGGAAGAACGCGAAATAAAATTGCCATTTCACGATGAACGAACAATTAAAAATTTCTTGCACGTTGATCTTTTTACCGATTTCACGAAACAGGGTGAATAATGAACCTTTTTCACGGCTGCACGTGAAATAAAAATGGCAAAACACGTTGCACGAAAATAACCATTTACCACCCTCTTCATTGTTTTAGTATGGTAAGTATTATTAGAACATACTCACACCTTCTCGTACAATGGAAAATCAGTATTTTCCCTTCTATTTTTCATACTACATGGCTTTCCATGCACTATAAAATGCTATACATGAATGACTTTTCATTGTAGATTAATTATGAAAATGAACTCTTAAAAACTGCTCTAACGAAGTGTACAATCCCCCAAGGCAATTTCCCAAAGGAAAAGAGCAAAACAAATCATGAGTACTGTTGTTTGTCTAATTATCATAAATGAAATCAGGAGAATAGAAAATAAAACTATAAAAGCATTTTAAGTTGAGATTTTAACATTGCAAATTTTATTTAATGGTGTAGATATAGACCCCCCTCCAAAAAAATGAAATGGTGACAAAGGTGTGGGTAAAATACATGTAGTTTTTAATCTATTTTTTTAAATAAGTCATTAGACCTTAAAACTTATGTTTTAAGAATCAATGACTGTTGATAAAAAATAAAAGAAAGTTTTTGAAAAAAATCTCAGTATATTCATCAACAAATTAATTAAGCATCTGATGTTGAAACGATTGTAACTTAATATTCATTGATGAAGTTTTTTCATTATCAAAAATTATACAATTTAAGAAAAGAATATTTATATAACATTGTGTGCTTTTTAAAATAAAGGAATTCTAAATATATAAGATTAAATTGTACCTGAAGCAGAAGACATCTCCATTTTTGAATAAGTTATCCTTTTTTGTTATCACAAAACTATCTAATTGCTCTTTCATTCCATTAATTGAAATGACCATTAAAATGATTTACATCCCTTTTACTAACCATGTTAACATTTAAAGTGAGCTAATATCAAAATTTAATTATTACAATGAGAGGCTAATTTTGTTATGTCACTCGAAGGTGTAAATATGTTCTAAATTGATCAGACAATACTTGGTCATGTTTTATGAACATTTAAAACCCTCGGCTACGCCTCGGGCTTTAAATATTCATAAAACATGACCAAGTATTATCTAGCCTTACTTCAACCAGGTAAGACTGTGCTAAAATGGGCTATCGAAAATACAGGTGAACGAATTAATCCTGCGCTAAAATGGGCTATAATATCTGCGCTAAAACGTCCTCTAGTAGTTCAAATGTTTTCGCTAAAATGTCATGAAATTAGTACTTAAAAAGTTTAACCTGATAAAATGATAAAGTCAGTTTTAATGTCTAGCCAATTAAATTTAGAAAGATAAGAATTTTGATAAAGTATAAGTGTATTGATCCAATTATATGCAGATTTCGTTTAACATTGAGATTTAGGCACAATCATTTTGATGTCAATTTCAAGTTCTGTACATTATGAAACGTATTACAATAGATACGAATTTCACTATCCTATCCTGATATAATATACATAATTTAA